GTAAAAAAAATTACTATTTGAATAAAAAAAATTCTCTGGTTACATTCTTAATCTTAATCTCGTAGTTAAATTAATTAATGTTCAAAATACATCAAGAATATCCTAAAGATGTCTAAAGGTATCTTTAGCCTACTCCTAGGTACATTTTTGGACATTTCTACTGTGGGTAGAGACTGCTTTATAATTTAATTCTTTTATATTGTATATCTTAGTGATACAATTTACAATATTCTACATAGTTTACAAGTCTGGATTGTCTATGTAACAAAAAGACCATGTAAACATCACGTAGATTTCACGTAAATAATCCGTGTAGACGTAATCTTGAAATCTACGGCATAACCCTGCAATTGACGATACATAAAATTCAAATGCGGATCTAGCATGGATACGCACCACAAATTGTATTACTCGAGCAGAAAAGTCGATTTTGCTACGTAATTCGGAGCCACTTTTTCAGAGGGCGTTAGTGCACGAGCGCATTTTAGCAGAGAGGATCTCTGATTTTAGCGTTATAGTCAAAAAGTCGGCTGGTCGGCGTGTCTCGCTCTCGGATCCTCTCTGTAAAATACATTTCCAAAAAAGTTGGAATCCTAGAATCGGAGGATTGAATCGGAGGAAATTCCTAGATTGACTTTCCCTTCAGTTGACGTATGAAACGCGAGAACTACTGGTTCGGTCAGAGGTGACGAGGAACTGAGAGAGCGAATCTCCTATTTTCCTGAGGTTAGCCGCACCGATGTTTACAGTTCCTAACCTAACTCACCGGACTGACCGGACGGATAGCGACGGTTACACGTGGATTGAAGTAGTTCATTTTTATTTCGAATTTACTGAGTGAACAGCCGAGTTACACTTCGATTCGCGTGCCCGTTACCGTTTGACAGCTTTACCGTTGGTAAATCTATATCGTTTGAAAAAAAAGAATTGGTCGTACGGCAGTTAACCTCTCGGCAGACGCTGCCGTTGTCGAAGAGTAAACTGTCTCTATATCGCTCAAAGGTAAAGTCTCTTATCGCTGTAGCTCTTCATTCAATTTGTTTTGACTAACGTATGTTATATTTCTTAAAAATGTATCGTGACGGATTCTTAAAATGCCAAAATATCTCCCTTTCCATATTTTCTCAGCTCGGTACAATTTATAATGCTCCTCTGTAGCACACTATAATACGATCATTTTTCACAAGAAACTAACATATATATATATATAAAATAAACATATAATTAAGATGAATAATAAATAATGATAGAGCGAAGATAAAAGATAAATAGTTAAATAAGAGTGGATTAAGTCGTTGACGAAGGGGGGAGGGGGTATGAATAAATCGCCGTCTCGTAAACCATAATGTGTCGTACGTGCTAATTATTTCTGCGTTATTTGTCTTTTAATAACAACAATCTGTATAAATAATACATCTTTTGCGTTATGCTGCGACATCGAAGGTACGATGCTATAGCGAACGGTGTTTCTACACGCGCGATTCCGCGGCGACGCGCGCGCGCGCTACCGACGCCGCGGATTTCGCCGGCGGGATACACAATTCCGATATATAAATAATACGCGAATTATATTTGCGTTATACCTCTTATCTGTAAGAATGACAATATACTTTTTGGCACTTACTAATAATTAATAATTAATCGAAACCTGGGTGGGATAAAAGGGGGAGGGATGAGGGGGGGGGGGACTTTATCTTTATTAAACATCAGACGAATGCGGAATTGGGCTCGATTTCGCGAGAGAGATCCCTCGGCAATCCCTTCCTTTTCTCTCCTCCGTTCTTCGCCCGAACTCCGTCCTAAGATCGTCCTAAGATTTCTTTTTTTTTTTCTTTTGCGAAACGAGTCTACATTAATAAATCTCTTCCTCGCTAGAGAATGTCTGGGATAGTTCAGTACGTGCTGGTGCGGACAGATCTTGGATGGCCGTTGGGTGCCATGATCGCCCAAGCGTGTCACGCGTGCACCGCGATCATCCATCAATCCTACAATGACGCCGACACGCAGGCCTACCTCGCGGATGTGGACAACATGCACAAGGTGGTCCTCGAAGTGAGTATTGACTTTCGCGAAGGGAAGCTCGCGCTCGCACGAGCCGTTGATCCGCGGTTAGTCTATTCGTTTCGCGATGCATGTGCGCGCACAAATTGCGGAGAAATTGACTTCAAACCGTCGTCCGTTATTCCGTGTAAAGTATCTCGTAAAGCGGCGTGAAATCACGAGGGTATGAATATATTGACAGATCGACGGAGCCGAAATGGAGCAGCTGCGCGAGAAGCTGGACCAGGACAGCATTCAGTTTAAGCTGTGGGTAGAACGGCCCGAGATAATAGCGACGTGTCTGGCAACGAAGCCCTATCCCAAGAACAAGGTACAATCTCATTTCAAGAAGTTCAAATTACTCAAGGTGTATAACGGATGTAAGGATGATGTATAATAAATTAATCGCGTTAAGATAAGGGCACGGAGAATGTCTCCTGCAGTTACTTTCCACACTATATCCAAATTAATCCGTCGCTCCCGAAAGATTCCGTTCGAAACGTTTTTAATACTTGCAAAAAACGCGCGAGCCGTGATCGCGATAAAAACCGAAAGATCCGACGACCCTGAGAGGGTCCGTAGATGAGATACGACTCTCCGGCACTCGCGCGAAATAAATGCCTAAACCAACTTCGGAGGAGAATGCCATTTGTAATTTTACTCTATTCGAGCGGGAGAGAGGAAGATCAATGCGCCGGAGATAAGCCGCGCTCTATACGCGTCCGAACGTTGATACTGCATCCGGACAACACCTCGGCTCGCTATCTTTTTTATCCTCTGCGTTTCTCCCTTTTTCTTTCCCCACATCGTTTCCCGACGTATGGAAAATATTTGCGCGTGGAGGACTACGGGCTCACGTCTGAGGGAGATAGAAAAAAAGAGAGAGAACGCAGCTGCGAGACGCCACGGCGGCGCGGCGGTTCGTTATTTCTGACAGTCGAGAAGATATACATTGATTTATTTCGCGGTATTATCTCGCAGGTATTGACAATGCGCGTGTATACAGTCGTGCCCTTCGCCAGTTCTTTTCTCTTTCCTTTGCATTGCGCACGGGTACCTAGCGTTTTAGAGTTCTAGCCTAGACGGGAGTTATATATATATATATATGTACGCGAGACGGGCGCGCGTCACTAATCAACTAGTCGTATCAAAAAGCTCCCGCTGGTCGCGCGAGTCTACGGATGTTCTACGGTGAAAGTTAACGGCGAAGCTCGGCAAGTCTCTTTACAGGTTACGGATCGACATCTCTCGCGCGGGATTAGCTCGAAAGGCGACCTGATCGCACACGCCCGTAAAGAAGCGCAATTTTCAAAGAACTTTCAAGATACGGTCTCATATTTCGGGCGCATAAATCCATAGTCGGTAACGAGAATTTTCAAGCGATATGTTTGCAAAATTAAAAAAAAAAAGGAAATGGAAAACACAGATTCTCGAAGCGCGTCTCAGAGCGCGACTATGAGCTAATCCATCGGTGCGTTGCGATTCTTCCCCGCTCCCTCGCTGCGATGTGCCTCGTCGTCTCGTGCTCTCCGCTCAAATCCGCGGAGAGAGTGTGTGTCCCTCGACGTGCGCTCACCGCCGCAGGATTCGCAGGAAGCGTTGCGACGACTTGCAGAAGGCGTGTACGCGCGTCTCCATTCCAGCATCCCCGCGCACCATCACGCTCGTCCGCCGAGATGCGCCCTTCGCGCGCACCTCACTGCGATTCTTCCAGGATTATCCCCTCGTCTCCGCGTTTTGCTCCGGAGTGCCTCCTGGTTCGCGACGCTCTTCCGCGCGACGATCATCCGCGAATTCATCCGGATAAGAATTTTCCACCCCGTCCTTCCTCGCGCGCACGGAACGCGCGCGATATCGATCGCGGATCCATCATCGTATACTTTTTTTTTTTATGTGCGCATGCTATAGGTATATGTGTATGTGACGTTTTTTTTTTTTTTACGGGCAAACCGTGTCGGCCGACAATACGACGACCGTCGACGACACGACCGTAGATTCGCAGTAAGCTCTAATTACTTATGTACACGCACTGCGGACGCTAGACACTGTAAGTACACATATTTACAACACTCTCGATGGCAAGATGATTATTTTGGCGTATATATAATATGTATATATATATTTTTTTTTTTTCCTTCGTAACGCGGTCGTAATGAGACGGAGGCGGGAACGGGAGGATATACAGAAGTCCTTATGAAAAAAATGCGCTATTGTCCTTGCAACATCACTGCCGCTCGTTCTCCACCTCCCCATTCTCCTCCTCCTCCTCCTCCTCCTCTAGCCATCGGCGCAGGATATTGTTCCTCAGCTGCAAAACAAAAATATAGGATAGGTGTCATTTTTCTCTTTGAAGAAACGGGATTGATTGTTCCTCGCGTAAGCAAGCTCGAGATCGTTTATTCCCGACGGAATCGTCTCGACGCGTCCAACGGGCGGCAAGACAGAAGCTGCACAGAGATTGCTAGAAATTTTTTCGGCAGATTGCTTAATTTCGGGATGTACATACATACAGATTGATGTGTGGAGGAGAGAAACGAGCACACAAGCTAGAGGGTGGTGCAGATACATAAGCTATAAATTTAAAAAGATGTGTATCTCGGACATTAGGTGTGTAATATTCTCAATTATCCTTTTTTTCTCAATAATTCTCTTTTTTTTACGAAATCTAGCATCTTTAAAGTCTCCAAATTTTTTATCACGTTATATTAATATAATTAATGAGTTGCAAAGAGTATAGGAATGAAAAATTTGCGTGCTGTGTACGAAAAGAACGATTTTGTTGGATGCAGATCTGAAAATAATTCTTGTTGGAAAGTCAAACTAATTGCTAGAACGTAAATATCAAAACGTTTTATAGCAATGCTTATATCACTTTTGAATTTCCAACAAATTTATTTTGATGGTTTAACAAAATTATTTTCAGATCCAAATTTTTTGATCTCGTAACAAAATCGTTATTTCTCTGTATATAAATTAATTATACATGCGTTTCTAATGGTTAATACAAATTATAATACATGCATTATAATTAAAATTATATATAATTATATATTATACATGCATTTCTGATAATTCATAAAAATTAGAGATTCAACTTTGTAGACACGTATAGCAATACGTGAAACGTATAAGAGTTCGTGAACACGCTAATACGGCAAAGAGAAAATGTGCGAGCGATTTGCATTTAAAGGAACAGGCCGTTAATAGGCCTCACAAGAGATTTTGACAATTCTACTCGCGTAGCGAATTCCACTAGGTTTCGAGCACACGTAAAGCAGCGTTTTGTCGTCCGTATCGCAATCAATAGATATCGCATTACGTATCAGCAACGTGCGCAAATAGGATCTCAATGCGAGATCAAGCTGTCGACGAGCATCCGCATTGCGTTAGTATTATTACGGGGGAGAGAGATTCGCAATTACCGGGACCACGTTAGTTTGGGAGAACGGGGTGAGACGAGTGATGAGGGTGGCAGTGGTGGTGGTGGTGATAGTGTTGGTATTGATGGTAGTTGTCGGTAGAGTTATCAGGGCAGCGCACACAAAAACGAGCATTATTGCTCGGCTAGGTTCCCGTTCGGGTCCGTGTAGTCGTCGTACTCGTCCTCCGGCTCCTCGTAATCCGTCTCCGCGGGCTCGGGACCCTCGATCGCCGGTGCGGACGTGCTCGTGATGTCCTGCTAAGCACACACCAGAATCCAGGCGTACCCCAGTCCCACTACTTTCCCCGCCTCCCAGCCCCCAGTTTCTATCCCTTTTATCCCGCGCGTTCAGTGTTAGTAGACTATTAGTGTATACCGCGCGCTCTGCGTCGTTATAATACCCCCGTAATAACTGGCAAAGAACGGCGGGGTCCGTTTTTTGCTCGGACCGTTGCCGAGTTTTGCCGCGATAATATTCGCGGAAGCTCTATTAATGGTCAATAGATTAATTCGAGATTCGCGAGAGAGAGAGAGAGAGAGAGAGAGACTCCTGCGGAGCGTCCTCCTTTCATTTATCTCTCCGTTGCACCGCGAAATAATTGGCATTTACCGAAACACCCGCGCGCATTTTTCTCATTCTGCGAAAAAGCGACCGTTAATTTTATATCGAAAATTGCACGCTATCAGCCGCCATTGATGAGTTATCGCCGCGATACGCTGAAATATTCGCAAGAATTTCGTAATATCCGTAATGTACTCTTGTCTCAACGCTTTTCGCTAATTTACCTCTCTCTCTCTCTCTCTCTCGCGAGTCGAGATTATATACGGCGTAACTTTTATTCCCGCAATCCCTTCTGCGCCCCCGCAGAAACTCCGAAACAAAATAAAGCTATCGATTACCTGCGGTGGTCTCCAGCCGCAGCCCGGTAAGGGGAGTCCGTCCGGTCCCAGCGGACACGGGGCATCCAATCCTGGAACACCTTGATCTCCCTTGTTGCCCTTGTCGCCTTTTCTGCCGCGTTTACCCGGCGGCCCCTGCGCGCACACGCGAAATGCATCATCTCTCTGACAGCGCGATGCAACACCCCGCCGATGCAAGTACGCGACGTGCAAATAAGGCCAGGCATAATATTGTTGGATTATGCATTATAGTACTTGATCGATCCGGTTGCACAATACACCCCGAGAGTCGAGTACAAAGAGCGAAGGTGAGCCTGTCGCGGGTCGCAGAAGTTTAATTATAACGGATTTTAATTGATAATTACGAGCGCGAAGGTCTTCGCCGTTTTTTTCCCCTCCCCTCGGCCCCGACCGACTGCCCTTTCGACTTAATTCACTTGTAATTACCGGATCGCCGAGGCGCGATCTCTCTTTTTTTCCCCCCCGTCAAAAGGCTCCGAGATGATTTTCCGAGAGAGCGCGAGAAAAGGTACAGGCGACACGGCGACAGCGCTCCCGTTGGCGCTTCGTTCCTCGAGCGTTTAATGTTAGCGTTTTCCCTTCTAACATTATTCGCGCCTCGTCACTATGCGCTTTCACGGAACGGTGGTGGCAGCATATACATATATACATGTATATATATATATATATTTTATATAGATATATATTTACAAATTTCTATGTACGCGCAAAGTGTGTTAGTCTTATGTGGAACTTGGTGGGAAATGGTGGGCGTGTGTAGGAGGATATTCTTCTCCGTGTTCCTACAACTAGAGAGAGCTTCCTCCGCTTCCTACACTTTCGTGACCTTGTGGCTCCGCGGAGATCCCGCAGTCTCCTCTCATCGTCGAACGACGACGACGATGACGACGACGACGACGACGTCGGCGGTGGCACGGAGGAGTCCCACCGACGTGCTTGCAGCAATAGTCGTGAATAAAAGATAAGCACGAGGATGCGAAAGGACGCGAACCGCGCGCGCGATTTGTTTGCGGCAAACAGAGTCACGAAATTCGACACGTGCGAAAATGCGGCGCAAACGATCGATTCCCTCCCGTTCCCAATTCGAAACCGTCGGTCGCTACCCGATAGTTACTCGAAATCAAGCGAATGCCTCGTCCACGTTGCCGAGCCAACGACGGTAATTAATTTCGCCTCCGCACCGGCCGGCCAGTCCGGCATCTCGAACTCGATGACTTTTGGCAGTATAAGGTAAATTAATCGACTAATTGCACAGGATCCTCCGTGTACGATAGGATTCATCTAACTCGCCCGGGTACATGCGTGCACGATTGTACGTCCGTCAAGGAGACGAGCCGCGTCCGCGGATACGAGCGCTCCTCTCCCGGTCCAGTTCAGTTATCGCTCGGCAAATAATCTTCGCAAAGCATACAAACGATCTAATCACGTGCGATCGTTTTCGCATCCTCGTGAAAGAGAAAGAGAGAGAGAGAGAGGGAGAGAGATAGATAGAGAGAAAGAGAAAGAGAGAGAGAGGGAGTTACGATGTAACTCCCGAGTGGATCGCGTTCAATCGGCGCCGCGCGGCCGAGCACGCGCGTCGAAAACGTGAATTACTCGAATTAAGTCAATACTCACAGATTCGCCTTTGGCACCTTTCTCTCCCTTCGGTCCCTGGAATTGGTGAACACGGTCAAAAGGAATTTATTCGGGGTAAATCGCTGGCCGTCGTTTTGCGCGCGCGCGAGACGCACGGTCGTTCCAGAAAGGAGAAAAAGCGTTTTGTTGTTTGTTTTTTTTTTTTCCTTTTTCCAAGCTCGAAAGGGCGCTCGAGGAAGGGTGCCCGCGTGTGACCGCGATGTCTCGTATAGTATATGTATATACGTTATATCGATCAGCGGCACAGAGCAGCTTTTCCGTTACCGTCAACCGTCACCTATCGGGGAGCTTCCCCCCCTCCCTCCCCCCTCGTAAAGGGGCGGGAAAGGGTGGCATATCGATTCGCGAGCCGGAACCACGGGCACGGCATTTCGAGTGGATCACTTGGTTATTGCTCTTCCCTCCGACGAGAGACGTCAATAAACCGAGAATATCCGATGTCAATAAACGCGGTACCGATACGCGAGAAAGACACAGAGAGACACAGACAGAGAGTTTCCCCTGCTCCCCCCCCCTCGTTTTAGATTCAGTTTAACTTCCGTGGGCAATTAGAAATTTCGTCGCAGACTCGCGTGCAATTATATTTGCGTAAATAATATCGCGATGTCCAAAGTTGCAAATTCGAAGGAGAAAAAAATTAATACATGCGAGGTGTATTAATAACTTTCTAATTTCTTTCCTCCGCTATATTAACAGTATACGCTTAATGTGTACACTTAATAAATACACGCGCCGCGTCTTCCTTCCTTTAAAGGAGAAGGAGAGCTATTATCCCGTTAGATAAAAAGGAAATATTTGCGCGCCGCGCGCGGTATCCGACGATATAGCTGTCGTATGTCGAGAGGTGAAAGGGATTATCCTCCTTCAAATGCCTTCCTGTGCATTCGAGGGTACATACGAGAGAGTCGTTCCGTTTATACGCTCCCGCATTGGTGCGCATCGAGCGGTCACACGAGCACCGGCTCGAGCATCCTTCCGGACACTCCAGAGTGAAAGAGAGAGAGAGAGAGAGAGAGAAGCACGAGGGAGTTGCGCGTTTCCCCCTCCGTTATAATTCAGCCGTAAATTTTGATCGGGCGCGCGACCCTCTCTAAACTTGGTCATGTGCCGTACGAGGTGGTACACACGGGGAGAGTCCTAGTTCTTAAATTGGGTTCAACAGCTATGTATAATATACGTTCGCCCGGTGTATTTGCGCGCGCAAATAATAATATCAGGCATCGAGCAACCTGGTTCTCTTTGCACAAAACGTCGAACGTTGTTTATGCGCGAAAATATTAAAGGACACGCGGAATCGATCGCGTCGGAACACGCTCAATTGTGCCGAATGAACGGCTGTAAAAAAAAAGTCTGTATACCTCGAGCGAGTTTAAGCAATGCAAAAAATTATCTGCGTGACACGCGACGGGCTTTTGAATATAATATAATGTACTGAAAAGGAACGCAAAAAAAAAAACAGTTTTGCGATGATAGATTCCGAACGAAAGAGGGAGAAAGGCGCAAGACGCTGCTCCGTTCTCTTCGAAATCGGACGGAGGAGGCAAGAAGAGAGGGCTCCTTTCGATTTTTTTTTCTTTTTTTTTTCCGAGACAGTCCCCGGGGTAGATCAGGCGGAATGTGTCGTCGTTACCCCGGGCTGGTCAGACCGTGTCAGACTGTGTCGCAGTCGCGCCGGAGGACGAGCGATAATCGAAAGCCAACTGTACCTCCGCGCCGGGAATCCCGTCAGTACCCTGGGGACAAACACAGATCGACTCGTTAGCGCGTCCTCTCCGTGACGACGACGACGACGACGACGCGACGCGACGGTGAGATGTAATCGAGTCAGCGGGTTGACTTGACGCCTCGTTCCTCGGACATGATCTCGATCTCTGTACGTGCCGGCGCGACGATCACGGGGGACTCTCACGGGGAGATTCACGGGGCGCGCACGCGACGTGAAACAGAGATTGAGAGCTGGGATCGGCGCGGCCGCGTTCGATTGGCATCGCGATTGACGTTTGATCGAAATTTTCGCGGAAGGAGAAACCGAGGCGAATGAGAGCGCCGAGAGTCCCCTCTCGTCGCGCGCACGCCGCCTCCAAACGGAGATTTTATTCGCGGCCTCATTTGTCAAGGAATCCGATTGAATCGTCGCGGAGGTCGACTTTAAATGTATAAAGGGAGAAATCTATCTGTAAAATATTTATCAAGATCGCCTCAGAACCGATCCGACCGCGAAACCGGAAAATTATTGTTTGATGAAGGGCAAGATTGCCCCGGGATAATACTCGGTAAATCTCGGAAATATATATATATATATATATATATATATATAATCCGTATATAGATACATATATATATATATATATCCGAGGGTCCTCGATATAAACACGAGTGCCGGGCGATATCGCGCCGTTAGACGGATCAGATTCGACGGCGGATAAATACTTGATGAAGCGTAGGACTTACAGGCAATCCCGGATCTCCCCTTTCTCCCTTCGTCCCTGGCTCGCCCTGCGCGCCCTGAAAGTACGAAGAAACATGACGGGCGATTTTGGCAACTCGGCTCGCTCTCGTCGTCAAGGAAAGCCAAATGAGGAGGATGAAATCGCGCGCACGCGTTTCTTTCTCGGCCTCGGTTCGAATTACTCGGACCGATTGATTATATTTATTTCGGATTCGTGTGTGTGTGTAAGAGAGAGAGAGAGAAAGAGAGACGAGAGACGAGACACCGAGAAATACGGAAATAGAAGCGTGTATCCGAGAGAACGAGAAAGGTAATCTTATAGTGAAAACGGGGTCATCCCGTGGATCGCTCACCTTCATGCCGTCTAATCCTGGTGATCCCTGAAAGGTAGAGGAAACCTCGTCAGATACACGACCGTAGCCCATCGATTTAATATTCGAGCGTGTAATAATTGTCGACAGCGACTTAAAAACTACTGTCGCGGAGTCAGGGGGAGGGGGGGGATGACTTTTATTTATTTTTAGAGATCGCCCTTTTGACACCGTCGCTGCGCCCTCGAGTGTTTCAGGATCGGTCCTCCGTTTTAATTTCTCCCCCGCGTCGCGTCGCGACGCGATCGATTCGCGCGAAAATTCCGTCAGCTCGGGAGAAAGAATATTTGCACTGCGCTCCGCTGTTTCGCTATATAAATACATATAGCTGCAACTCCCTCGATTGCACGCGCGCGCGCACGCGATGAAGTTTCGAAACTCTCGTTCGGATTTTCAAATTAAGTTATAGTTGCGCTATATCGCGCTTGATGTGTCGGTACAGATATTGGCCGGGGATATTCGATCGGTTTTCGTTGTAATGAAATTGCGTTTCTATTGGATTTCTGTACTCGCGCTCTTGTTGCAACGAATTCCCTCCCCCGCGCCATTCTCAGTAAATATTTGAGGTGTAACTGCGGATTTATTATATATAATTTCGCGGCGACGCGGGGGAAACGTTTCCGGAGCTGTTTCTGATCTTAAAAACGATGTGCAAACATTTCTTCCGGGAGTTAAAACTCTCACTCGGCGTGTAATGAATTAGATTCGTTTGGTTACCATTCTTTTCAACCACGAAGCTCATCATCGACCCATCGTCGCAAGATAATTTTCATCCCCGCGCTTTCGTATTATAAAAATTAATCCCGACACCGAGCGAGAAAGAGAGAGAGAAAAAAAGAGAGATAGACAGAGAGAGAAAGAGAGAGATAGACTGACAATCGAGGGCGGTCGACGTCGTGGTAGGTAAAGCAGGAGCTTGAGCAAAGTTGAAAGAAAAAAAAAACGAGCGTACTTCGGTACCGAAGTGTCGACGCTTGTCGCGTCTTTGTGTTTATCCTCTTTTTTCTTTTTGCTCTTCTTTTTTTTCGATCTTATTTCTAAGGTAGCAAGATTAATCGCCGGCCTGAACGATCCGCCGATTAACGCCACCGTGTCGTGTGGTCGCAGCAAATTAACACGTGTTAATTTTTGGTCGTTGCTCTCTTCCTTGTCTCTTTAATGTCGTTTCCCCAAACTTGCAACTTGCAACAGACGCAGATACATCCGCAGAGAAGAAATCGGAAGAAACGAAAGTGAGCGGAGGGCTCGTGATTATCCGGATATTAAAAGGCCGAGTCGCAAACAGTCGGCGGAGGGTGGGTGGGGCACAATGCAAAAAAGAAGCAAAGAGGTATCTGATTATTTGTTAACTTGGATTATATACCGTGTGTGTGAAAGCATTAATCTGGTAGGCAGTTTTTAGAAGCAAAGGACACAGGCACATGCACATTCTGTTTATTAATCGGGACAATGTAAAACAAAACTGCTGTTAGAGTTCAGTATTCACATACGCATTCAATTAGGTCGCCTTAAGTTGATCGGCTTAAGAGGAGCGCCGCCTTAACAATTAACGCACGCGTACGCGCGCGCGTACACGCGCCTGCCAGGATTCGCGCGTACGTATACCTGTACACGTATACGCAAATATATATGTATACGTGCACACAGAGTGTCTCTCCCCGTGTCGGCTGAAACATTACGGCTCCTTCCGCGAAGTCGACTTTCGCTCGGGCGAGAATTTGATCAAATATTTGGCAGGTAAAGTTGAAATTTTCGTTAAGGCGAAAGCTCGTTTTAAATTAGCTGAAAAATTAGCCGCTTCCGCGAGAGTACAGTTTTAATTCGGCAAGAACCTCCCTTTAATCTTGGGAATCATCGTAATTAGATTCCGTCGAATTTTCAGCATTACGGGAAAGAGGTCGTTTTAGAGGGCTCGCGTCGACGAAATTCCATAGCCGCGAAGAAGAGGGCCCTCGACACGGGCGCGACAGCCTGTGTGCGTATACCTGCGCGCGACACGCGCAGTCACGTGTGCGCACGCACCTTTTTACTTGTACTTACATTTACAGACATACACATACAAATTGAGTATACAGCGCGAGTTCCCCGAGTTTCATCGAGCGAAACTTTCGTGATCTATCCGGCGCGCTAAAACGGAACTTTTTAATGAGTACTCTCGCTCGCTCCGCGCGAGTACCTCCCCCCCTCTCCCACCCACCCCGCTACTTGAAATTTCGGCGAGGCTGGGACTGCATATCGAATCGACTTGAGCATACAACAGCGTTAGATATCCTCCTTGTCCCGCGGGATCGATAATTACAGACCGTTTCCGTCGTCGATTTACATGCAGCTTCCTCCTCCTCCTCGCCGAGATAACGAGATACTCGCGCGAGAGTATCTAACGTGATAAAACTGAGAAACTCCGTTCTGGCGTCCCGAAGAAACCGCGTGCGTGTATTCGCGTCGATAGGATTGTGAGAATCGCCCCGTATATTTATATACACATCTCTCGACTTGCGCATCTCGACGCGGCGACTGCGTTCCTCCTCCTCGCTTTCATATACGTTCATACGTTCCTTTCCGCGTGTAATATGCACGTACTGTCGTCTCGCGCGCGTGTTATAACGTGTGGAGCGTTTGTATACATATAATGCCGTGTGTTTCCGTGCTCGTGTAATTAAATATGTATATGTGGGCGTCGTAAACTGTCGGTAGGACTTTACACCACGCATAGGAGGAAATTGCCGCCAGAATAGAGTCGTCGGTGTGTGTGTTGTTCGGAGTGTGTCGACGGAATATGTGTGTGTGTGTGTGTTTCGCTCTCGCGCAGTCTCTCGTCCAGTTATCCTCTTAAGACTAAATCTGCGTTAATTTATCGGGGTGTTACACAGGGGTGTTAGAAGTAGTTCCGCTCGTATAGTCCGTGGTATACGGTACATCGATTGTGACGGCGCGCCGAGAGAGAGAGAGAGAGAGAGAGAGAAAGAGATAAAGACTGTCTATTCTACACTGTACATTCCGCGTGATTCTTCCTTGCCCCTTGTATTTTTAGACGCCGAGGATGGTGAGCGATCGATTGGCGCGGAAGTTGATTTAAAGTATTTAAACGGCTCGATATGCCTCGACATAACAGTGCTTCTCGACGCGAATTTAATACAATTACTGTTAATTCCTGGATGGAAAATCGTTATTAATTTCTGACTCGCGGATGAGTCGACTTTCTGATCTTTCTAATCGCGATCTATCGCATTTCTAAGATTTTCAAATTAAAGGGATTCATTTTTCAATTACGAATAAATCAATTTCCGTGCGGATCGGAGTCGCACATCGATCGCAGATCTTCCGCAGGAAGTGGTCAATACCTTCGACTTTTCAATGTATCGCCTTTGATGCTTGAATAGGGGCATCTCGTTGTACCTCGAACAAGATCCTTCTTAGGCCAAGTGACTTGCCCACCGGTTAATTACATCTTGCGATTGTATCGTGCGATTTCCGAGCCGACGCGAGGATCCGTAACTCACGATATAACGAAACTCTCCCGCACTTTCTGTCAGCATTCGCAAAACACTTTTCGTGAAACAACAAAGGGCGGACTTGTTAACTCGCGAATTTGTCGACCCACGTCGTCGAGAAACTCGCTTGTCGAAATTATTGACTATCCGTAAAACGGTTAAATCGCGTCCACTTTCCGCGAACGCTTATGCAGTTGACGTCTAGTTTACGTATCGCCAACGAGCGGCACGTCGTATCGACTTTATTATTGATGAAAACGTCACGCAACCCGTGTTGTTTCTCAGCTACGTTAGAGTTTCCGCAGGAAAATTTCGCGAGCTATCGATAGCACGTTAGCGCACCCGACGGGATAGTAGAGCGGAAAAGCCGAAAACGGGCAGAGAAAGAGGGAGAGAGAAGGGGGAGGGGACGAGAGAGACCCCGGGTGTACATCTCCTACTTGTTATTCGCGGCGGCCAGTCTCGGAAACGGTTTTACTACTGTTCGGCGAACGTGAAATTTCCTCGCGACCGATGCTCACGCGCGATATCACCAACGTTTCCCACGACTCTCGTAAAAGAGGTGTGCTCGCCGAAATGTAAGAGGGGCCCCTGAATACAGACACGCACTGCAGATCACACACCGATCTTCTCTCCCCCACCGTTTTCTCCCTCTTCCGCTCTGCCACGCCTCGACTGCTGCTGCTTCTTTATGCAAGCTTTATGCAAGCGATGATTTAAAACGCATCCAGCTGTTCCAGCGCGCGAGGTAGAAGCCGCTTCTAGCGAATTTCATTTGTCAATCAACGGCGTTTTTAATATCAACGATGATGGTTCGCGGATCCCGGAACGAGCAGCGTTGAGAGAGATGAGAGATCGTTATCGATGTTATCCTGATGAAGCCATCCCGATGACGCCAGTAACGAGTAATCAGGAAAGTTTTCTTTTTTTTTTTTTTTTTTTTTCAACGCGACACCTACACGTCGATACAGATCTTATCGTTACATCCGCGCTTCGACTATCTCGCGCGCGCAAGAGAAAGGATCGCGCGTCCGATTTCTCGCTTTTGACGTCACGTCGATTTTAGTACAATAGCGATGTGATCGGCAGCCTTAATTTTTATTCCCTTTCAGCTCGTTTCCCCATCCCTTTTTCTTTTCTCCCCCTCGTCAATATATCTTGCAGAATTTCCCATGTTAACTGTGCGGAATTCTTGATGGCTCGTGAAATGCGACTGGAATGCTACGAGGAAATGTAGAAACGAAGAGGAATCATGATAAATGGCTGGGTTATTATTAGGTGCCGGCGAATGCTGCGAGAGCGAGCTTTCGTTAAGTACAAGCCGACTGAATTATTCTCAGGAGAGGCACAACGGAAAAGTAGATTTTGCCAGACAAGGGGACAGACTGTGAAAATTGTTTCTCAAAAGCTCGTCAAATTGGCTTAGACAAAAATTAAATCTCTGCTCTTTCGATACCCGCGTTTCAAGCAACTGCGCCTTCATCTAATTTCTTAACGCGTTTGTAAAAAGTATTTTATTTTAAGTAAAGATTGAATTTCCTAAAGAAAAAAAAGCACGCTCCTTAGATTTTGTGCAAAACATTACTATACTAAAATCACTCGTAAATTTGTCGAATATCCGAGGGGATAAAATAACGCGAAATTATCAAACAGTGTATACGAATATCTCATATATAATGCAATGAAATAATATCGTATACTTCAACTCCGTTATAGTGCGATACTGCGCGATAACTAAAGCACCGCCTTCACATTTTATTCGATAAGATCGAGAAGTCCTTTACATGCTTACGCTAATGACTTGTCCGTCGGAGAACGGCGCGTCCGTTTACGCTTTTTTTTTCCCTTTCGTATACGCTGATACAAAATTTAGCGGGACGGCGAAGTAGCTCGTATCTCTTTCGTAGACCCACCAAACTCTGAGAGCACTCGTGTCCGCGATCGAGAAAACCTGTTCTCGTCTGGTCGGCGCGAGCGGTTTTGCTTATCAAGTCGACACGTAGAGTAAGTTAAAGAGGACGGATGGTGGCGATGCGTTAACGCGCGGACCGAGAGCGAGCGCCGGCTTGCTCGGAAAGTGGTGTAAACCAAATCTCGTGGTAACCTCATTATAAACGCGAACACGTGCGGTATCGCGCGGTCTCTTTGCCCGCGAATTAATCGTCGTTCATTAACGTCGTCCATCCCACCGAAATCTGGTTTAACTCTTTGCGGGGGCAAGCGCGGCTCCCCGCGCGGTGTGTTATACGCGGCATCGAAACATACATGGGATATGAATCTCGGGAAGATATTTTAGCAACGATTTGTTTGACGAATCGAAATTCTCTTCTCTCGGCCAATAAATTCCAGGCGATTTATAATTACTACGGGAGAGACGTCGAAAAAATACACCTTTTAAAAATTCGTCAAAGAATCCGTTCTTCTAAAATAATTTTTAGGCAGTAACCGGACAGTCCGGTTCCGATTTTTCGCCGACTGGCGTAATTTTCACACTTCGTGCCCAAAACCTCGACGAGGTTTTTTTTTTTAGTATTTATCCTGGAAGACGTACCTTCCGCGTTCTCGTAGCCGCGCCGAGACGTTAGACGTCGGCGCGGCGATTTCAGTCGAGTCGCTCGACGAATCTATTCCACGCCTGTAAACGCTGTGAAAAATTACGATCGCAGAGGCTACATTAAGGGGAACCTGTATCCGGCTTCTGGATTTCGTTCTCGAGCGAGGTCGCGCGCGAGGAAACACCGTCGGCGCTGAAGACTCCCCAACGCCGCGAGGAGCGCGCGCGTATTCCTTCGGAGCGGGCGAGACGCACGTGTCTCTCCGAGATTCGATCGAAGTACGCGGTTCGTATACTATTTTCCCCGTGAGGGAAAAAAAATCGCGCGATCTCGGCGTTCCGCCGCGCACCGAAGTGCATCGATCAGGTCCTCCTCGATTCCGGAGAAGGCTGACGTTGAATTTCGCACTAATTGTAAGACACCTCGAGTCTGCGGTCACCTGCGCGTGTGACCTCGCTGGCACAGACGAGACCGACCGATCGGCAGCGCTCGACGGTCCCGACCGACAATCCGGGACTTGAACGTCTCGCGATTGCAATTCTATCAATCTAACTCGGCGTTTAACGGCGCTCAGTCGTCGTCGGGCGGAAGCGACTGTCTTCTCGCGCGAAGTATTTACCAGGCGTCCGCTCGCCTCCTCTCGAATCGCCACGCTCGACACTCGCGACGACGACGTTGGCCGCGCTCGTCGACGCTCCCTCTTACCCCCCTATATGCCCCTTTTTTTCCCTGGTAATGTATCGTTATGTACATGCAGAAGTGAGCGCACGTTGTCGAGGGGCGATCGAGAGGCACAGCACGCTCGCCAGGCTGCGTCGCGCGGATATAATTGTGAGACGCACTTATCGGCTTATCAGCGAATTCCGCGGCGGCGACGCCAAGTTACGATGACGTTAGGAGCGGGAGGTCCGCGTTCTTACCATGGGGCCAGGTTTCCCGGAATCCCCGGGCTTTCCGGACTCTCCCCTCAGTCCCATGGGGCCCTGAAAGTAGATAGACAGAACGCTCATCAGCGATGTCTCGCCGCCGATTTCCGACGCCGGCTCGCGCGGAGACCCCGCGCCGATCGGCGGGCTCCCGCACGCTCGCAGGTGCAAAGCGCGCGACTTCTCCGCGTCGCGCACGGAGAGAGGTGGAGAGGATATAGTAATAATGCAGGCTCTAACGTATTTGTATTTTTCGTATTCGTTCTTTTCTTTTTTTTTTTTTGTCATGCAGAGAGAATGCGTATACCTTCGTAACATTGTGCGCACGCACGCCTCCTCCCGTTCTTTCTTTCTCGTGTACCTACTTCGCTCTGGCGATAAAGTCCAATTCGTTAATTATACACGAAAAGAACGATTTTGTTGGATACAGATCTGAAAATATAAATTTTTGTTCAACAATCAAAATAATTTTGTTGGAATGTCAAACTGATTGCTAGAATATCAAAATCGTTTTCATAGCAATGCTTATCATTTTTAACTTTCCAATAAAATTATTTCTATGTTTCAACAAAAATTACTTTCAGATTTGTATTTAGCAAAGTTTTTAGACCTCCAACAAAATCGTTCTTTCCGTGTACCACGTGCCACAATACGTCCTACAATCCCCTTTCAGTCCCAAGATTTTTCGTTTAATCAAAAAAGTGAAGAAAAAGAAATCTCGTGTGTCACGTATATATGTGGATGTGTTGATGAAAAAAAATAAAATAAAACTCGTTGTCTTTCTGTTTTCGCGCGAAAAATGTATCGATAAATCGTAGTAGTAAACTCGCAAAATGGACTGAAAGGGACACTAACACTATATAGCAACGCAACGTTCGGAATTTTCGAAACGCGATTTTTTCGAGAAAAAGCAAAGGACACAGGACTTTCCCCTCTCCCTGGAATCCTGGGGGAGGGGAGCGGCGGCGGGGAAATCCCCGTTTGCGTTTTCTGTCTGCCTTTGTGCGTCCTGTATCCGCGCTTCCTTTTCAGAGCGCGCTTAAGGCTACGCGTGTGTTGCATGTGTGTGTGCGCGCGTGTGTGTGTGCAGTGTGTACATGTGTACACACGTGTGTACACACGTGTGAGAACGTGTGTGCGCATGCCGTGTGTAATCTGGAGAGAAAATACGTACGGGCAGTCCCATCGGACCAGGATCCCCTTTGCCACCCTTTTCTCCCTGTAACGTGAAAAAAAGAAAGAGCGACGCGTGAGAACGGGGCTTGTCCGCATCGCGATGGATGTCGCGCACGCAAAAAGGTGATCTCAAAGATCACCGGCGTGAATAGCTTCACGCCTCGGGAGTCACTATCGCCTAACGCGATCTTTCTCGGGAGGTTCTCAACTACGCGCGTCCGCGTGCCCCCCTTCGCCGAAATTTTTCTCCCCTCTTATTATCGCGAACGGAGCGAACATCCTCCTCGATCCGTGATTTTTACTCTTGATATCGTAAAAAAATATAAAAAAAGAGATATTGTAAAGTTAAAATGTTCAAGAGAATGAATTTTTTTTTAAATCCCGTTATAGCGTTGAGCGTGCTGTAAATTTTTTGCTCACCCCAACACACACGGACTAAACTAATAACGTGAAAAAATAACGCCATTTATTATTGCGATCATAACCGGGGCTCGCGCTGGTAGTCGTTACGCTTCCCAAATTCATAGTATGACGGAGATAAATAAAAATATGGAGCTACAGTTGATGTATAAAAGGTTTTCGCGACGGGTTTTGCGCGCAAAACCGGAGCGACGCAAACAGATCGATTCTGTTATTCGATGTCTGCAGCGAGCCTCGGAGAGAGAGAAATCAACACACTCGTTTTACTCCCGTCGCGCGAAAACGCGGACGTGTGTAACTGCGCTTTCATATTTCCGTGTACGCGCGCGGACATGAATAGATACAGATAATGGTTACTGACAGGATCGCCCTTGGCGCCGTCGTGTCCTCTGTCACCCTTGATCCCGGGCGGGCCCTGCAGTCCGGGAGTACCAGCGGGTCCTGGGGGTCCGGGCGGGCCCATTATCTGCGCATCGACAACGCCACAGGTCAGAAATGATTGTATCGATAAGGAAAAGGTTGTCATCCCCCCTGCGGCGAATCAATTTTAAATTCTAAAATCGCTGTGTAGATTAATCAAACAATCGATTATAATTGTCGAGAAACAAATACGTTGCATTCCGTCGTCCTACAAAATTCCGACGCGAATGATGAACGTTATACCGTGAAATCGAGAGGGAAAAAACGGGTTTTCGTTCGACAACTTTTACAAGCTTTGGGCGAATCGCTTTATAATCCCCATAAATCGTGCCGCAAAGGGTTACGTAACTACATAAAACGCGGCCGTAACGGAGGACAAAGTCGGTGTCGCAATGGCGACGCGACCACGAAAATTTAAAACCCGTTTCGAACGGACAATACGGTAGCGAAGTGATATTGCCTGCCGTATTTTATTTTGTTTTTTTATTTTATTTTTTTATAAACCGGACATTACCGTATATCGCGCGTAACTAGCGGTTCGCGTTCGTCGAGAGAGCGCCGCGCTCTCGTCTCGAATTAACTTACCACTTCCCCGGCGTTCATCTCGAACGTGCCGTCTCCCTGCGAACAAAACGCGGTATTCGCCGTGTTTACACATGTTGCACTGACATCGCGTTTACACGCTACTTTGATACAACACATTAACGATTTCCTCCTTCGCGCATCCTTCCACAATCGAGGGCGACTCCTTTGTCGCACGATCGAGAGAGGATGAAGACACGAGGATACTTGAGATACGAACTGTCACATACCTGTCTTCGCCTGAGCTTTTTGTACTTCTGTACGGGTGGAAGGGTCGATGTCCCGCCATGAAAAGAAATTCATTTTATCGTGAGATTCTGCCTAACACACCACACCGCCTGTAGTACCGTTGAAATCGCAGTTCCGGCGCGTTATCGTGATCACACCGAAACTGCGATCGATCGTGAAGCTATATATGTGACGAAAATACGATCTGGCATCTGTGGAAGATGCGGCGCACAGCTTCGCGATTGATCGTAAAAAGAAAAAAATATATATATACCGGTATTATTTTCCGATAATAGAATCTTGTTTAAATTTATTGGATATCCCTGAATGAAACTAATTTCTGCAATATCGCTCCGATGAGATCGTATTTCATACGATTATTGCATACACGATTCGATGCATGTCACGATTTTAAAAAGACAAAAATAATAAAAATGTAGTTAAAAATTAAAAATATTAAATTTTTATACAAATATTAAATGTAATTCCTTTATATTTCTTTTATTATATATAATTCGCGTTATACTTATATAATTTTTTCCGTATATCAATATTCAGTCTTTTTATTATCAGTCTTATTATATTATATTATATCAGTTAAAGTTTGAATTTTTCTTTATTAAGCAGAAATTGATTATTTTTTATCACATTAATTTTCGAAGCAACGTAAGTAATAAATCTGACAAACACACTCACCGATTCGCCTTTCTCTCCTTTCTCGCCTTTCAGCCCAGGATAGCCCTGTCGACAAGTAGAATCACATAAGACGAAATATTTACGATAAGAAGGGTCGTTCGAAGCGACGGCGTTTAAGGCCGCTTACGTACCGGTGGGCCGGGTAGACCCGGAGGTCCCATAAGGCCGGGGGGACCAATGTCGCCGTAGTCGCCCTTTTCACCTTTAGGTCCGGATATTCCCTGAAATGAGGTACAGACGGGCGCGACGTACATAAAATGTTACAACTTTATTCTTCCCCGATTCCGTTAAAAAATCCCTTCTACGTAATATCGAACAACATATTAATTAGATTTACCACAAAACTCGTAATACTATATGTACAATTGATCGGAGTTGTATCGATATGATGTTACAGGTATTGTGTGTTGAAAGTCAGCGTATAATAAAAAAGATATCTGTTATTTTGCGAATGTATTACGATATTCGATATATTGCGGATATACCCTTATTGCAGGATTCGTAATAGTCTTTAAATGTTTGGAGAAAACGCTAATTATATCGCAAGGCTCAAAATATGCGGCGATTATTTATGACACGACGGGATTTGAAAAAGTCTTTTACACAATAATGCACTTACTTATTTTGATGCGACATTAAAATATATCAATTATGTAAAAGATAAATTGATATTATTGAAAGAAATTATTATATCGTTAAATCTTAAAGCGTCGGAAAACACGGCGAAAAATATAATGGACAATACGTGTAACATATGCTACGAATTTATTTTCCTATACAAACCTCCCGGGAGTTTCTCTCTCGCATTTTCTCAACTCGATTCAACAATCGTTGTAACGTAAAGCACGCTGGTGACATTATGCAAAAGTCCGACGGCGGCGCGCGAGAGAGAGATATTAAATTTTCGCCACCTTTGTAAAACACGGCGCGGGCACGTAACGTCTCCCGAATATTACAACCGTGAAGGGCGTGGGAGACAAGGAGATTTGGGGAAATACCCCATTTCTCATTTGCGTCACACTTACCGGTAATCCGGGGGGTCCTTGGATACCGGGATCGCCGTCGGTTCCGTTGAGCCCCGGCAAGCCCTGCAGTCCCACCTCACCCTTGGGCCCTGAAAGCGAATTTGCCGGTCGTGAGCCGCCCGGTTTGTGCTCAGGCTCGCCGAAGTTAGATTAATTCGCGCGCGAGAGCGCGATCGATGACGCCCCGCAATTCCGCGTAAACGCGCGCGTGGCAAGAAACCTCCTCCCTCCCTCCCTCTCCCTCATCTCGCGTATTGCCCAGCTTCGCCTTCCTTCCGTCGTTTTTCCGCCCTTTCTTCTCATCCCTTCCGACTTTTCATTTCGCCCCGGGCGATTTTCTCGTGCCGGGAATACTTCCGGCGTGTTTATCGCGTCTCGGTGGAATAGCTCACCCCCTCCCGAGAGACATCCGCAGACACTCGACGTTTATTGTCGATCTAACATAAGTATCGAGGGATCTTTAAATATACGATCGTGTTCTTTTCAATGACGAAAAAAATAGAGGGTATTACGTTCAAATAAGTCGATAAAAAGTCCGGTTGACCCGCGACGTTCTTAACACTTGACTCGACTTGACTCGAATCTCGCATGCTCGACATATTTGTTTTGTCTACTAGGTTTTTTTTTTTTTAAAGCGGCAGTCAATGAAATATTGTCAATACCTTTTGTATGCTCTGCCGATACTGCGATTGACGTCATGAAAAGCATTTATCAGAAGACTGTCACGCTGACAATCCGTCGAAGTTCGCCGTAATAATATTCACGTCCGTCGATATAACGATGATAAATATCGATCGCCCGACGACCCTTTTTAGAAAACAAACGTTTAATTAAACATCCCATTCGATACGAAGCGGATTAATATTTAATTTCCCCATCGAGCGAACAGCGTTATTAACTCTTGATTAAAATTTTTCGCGGAAAGCGAAGCAGGCGCGCTTGACGTCCGGAAGAGAGAATCGAGGGCGCGCAGCCTTCGAATTCTTTTCCCCGGGGAGGAGGGGAGGGGGGCAAACGCGGGGGTCATTTTGAAGTTTCGTCAGAGAACTTTTCGAATCGTTCCGCTATTACATATCTTCGGGAAACTTAAACAAGAAAGCTGAACTGATCTCGCGGCCGTCCGTTCAGTGGACCCGCATTATTCTCTCTATATGTTTGCATAATCAAATACGAAAAATAGGATTCTTTAACTGTCACGTTCACTTCGCATATATATACCGTGAAATTATGAGACGTTATTCTTTCATGCGATTATATGCAAAAATATTCGGTAGAAGGCGCGGTGCCAGTTGAGAGATGACCCAGTAAAGTTAAACGAGCCGTATACGACGAGTATTCGCCTGTTTATTTTCCTAGAAGAAACTCGATACACCGTGAATCTTGAGGCTTCTCGCATCAAACATTAACTCATAGAAAAATCAATAAAAAAATAAAAATAAATAAAAATAAGAAAATAAAAAAATAAAAACTTAGCGATGAAATCTGATTGATAGATATTAATCGTCGTCGATCGCAGATTATCTTCTGCAAGAAGATGTGGCTATTACTGCTAATCATCGTCCTGGAAAAGATCACGTGAGCCTCCGTAAATTTTCGGATTTTTCGCGCGGGGGCGGTGAGGCGCGGCCGAAGGTACGAAAAGAAACGCGGACCTTCGCGGGAGGATATCCCACGAGGAATAAGGGGGACGGACACGATCGTTTTTTTTTCTTTTTTTCGGTGCTTATCCTTCGGTCTTTTACCGCCAATTTTCCCGCCGCGGTAGAATGGCTTTCGTGGTAATCTACCTGCTGAACCCGCGTCTCCTATGGCGCCCTTTTCGCCCCGGTAACCCCGTTCGCCGGGCTCACCCTTCGGACCCGGCAGGCCGGGGACACCTCTCGCCATTGCCAAACCGCTCTCACCCTTGAAACCCTACAATGACACTGCAAGGTCAGATCCAACCAGGTCCTCCATGTGCGCTGTGCAATTTCTTTTTTTTTTCATCATTTTTGCTTCTGTAACGAAGCGTTAATCTGCCTTCTTTCAGAGAGGAGGGAGAGGAGGAGAGGATGGTGCTTCGAGATCTACGTCAATCACTTGATCGATCTTGGTACTCTCAAATTTTCACACTTTGCCTTTATGGTATCTCATTTTTTTTTTACTTTAAGTGCCAAGATCGTCCAGCTACTTTTTGCACAACACAATTAAACACACTCGCATCTAAAACAAACGTTTACAGTGTTTTTACTTCGTGACGTAGACAACGACTGCTAATATACTCATGCGACTACGGAGGATTCGTTAGTTCGGGCTCAAATTTAATAGAAAATTGAGGACTACTAGTGTATCTCTTTCTCTCTCGTGCTACAATAGCAATCTATGATTTATAGTCTCTCCTCATAATTACAACCTGTGGAGCCAGTTCTACTGTGCTTAATAGGGTTCCTTTCTTATATTCGCAAAACGCAAAAAGGTATCCCATAAATTATGACTTATTATATATCGGCAGTCCCGCGTACATTTACACATCAATAAAAAACTTTTTCAATTTACCATGCATCGTAAAAATGTAACGTGATATAATTTATACTTTGAAATATTATTAACAAGTTGACATAACAAAAACAAAGAAGCCCTTTATTAAATTGAAAAAATAATAATTATAATTTGTAAAAATGGTGGTTTTCATCGAGAAATGTTTCGCGAGAGAGAAAGAGAGAGGGCGAATGAGGAGCAGGACCGATACAGAAAAAGTATTAAATAAAATTAAATTATTAATATCGCGCGTAAAATGAGCACAGAGAAAAAAAAAGAGAGAGAGAGAAAAAGAGACCATGGTCGCGACAGTATAAGCTACATACTTTGACAGGATCTTGAATACTTACGCGACAGCCTGCAGGCGCTTGCGATCGCCAGTCGATAGGGTTGCGAGAGCCTCAACACAACAACAAGCCGGGGGTAGTAGTGGTTATTAGTGATTAGTGAATCGAACCGATACAACGGGGGAAGAAGTAGTGGGGTGGTGTTACTCGCTACATAAACACAAATTAGTTACACAAGCTACGTACACTACGCGCCGAGAATCATTTACTAACTGTACACACACATAAAAACACACACAAACGTTAATTAAAAGTGCTCGATGTCACCCCCGTCATCCCAAAAAAAGACGTGGCCGACATCTACACAGTCCAATCCAAAAATATCTTAGGAATTTTTTGACGTTCAGCGAAAATATCGCAGAAAATCATTAGCGTCTTTGTACCCGAAAATTTTAAACTAAAAATTTCTAACTAATTTACGAACGTTACACCAAGAAGATGAATTAAATTTTGCACGCAAATTTAAATCTGTTGAAAAACATAATCTAAGGTCTCTCCGCAAAAATCAAGATTTTTGCGAACCATCCGCAAATTAAAATACTCTCAGAAGAGTATTAACTCCAAGTGTTGTTCCGGGATTCTGCATCCCCAAGATATTTTTGGACAAATTTGACGCACTCCGTATACGTTAGCTGTAGTTAGACGTACACTTGGCCGCGGCTTTGCAATCGGGACGCACGCAGCGCATCCGGGACAAGCGATCTCCCCGGCTTCGCGTCTCGTTAGAGAGGCAAATCGAGCGGACGCGGGCGAAGTTGCGAGCGAAGCTTGCTTTGTGGTCGAATGACGAATTTTACGGTTCGGTGAGCCGGAGGTAAGTATCGCGCAGGGCGGACACGTGTATCCCGCGAGTTTACCGTCGTGGTCCGACCGCGAAACTGCAGCGGAACTGCTACCGAAGTTGCGCCGAAGGTTAACTCTCTCTCTCTCTTTCTGTGTGTCCGAAACCGCGTCTGCAAGGGGCCCGGGTTACAAGATTTGCGTACAACTCGCGTTCAGTCGCCGTTTCCTGCAGACGTACATTTCCTCGTTGCTCGAAATTATTCCGCAGTATCGTAGTCGTAAAGGGAAATCACCAAACGCAATGATAATTGTCAGGTTGGTCGGAAAGTCTTTTCGTATTTATTTAAAATATAATTTACATTATATTTAAATTCGTAAATATAAAAAAACTTTCTGACTAATTCAACAACAATTCTTCTTATGACAAAAATTTTAATTTCCCGTAAAAAAGAAGTACGAGATATTTCGTTACGTTTCACGTGGTAAGACTTTAGTAAATGCCCTTTATGTCCACCGAGCTCAGCTTTAATCTAATTCTTAGAACTAGAAAAAGATAGAGAGCAAGTTAAACCGAGATTAGAGTTAATCTGTATTGATTGAAATAGACGTTAGTCTCCTATCTTGCATCTTAATTCAGTTTAGCCTGTGCGACTGGATATTTACATGCGTGCTTTTTCGTTAGGAGATGTGAGACTCGTGGATTTATTTATTTTTCACTCATTAGTTTAAAATTTGTCATATTTTTAGCATTACACGTGATAAAATTCGCTGTCAAAAGGCTACCCGTTGACTTCACTAGCTGTTTCACTGCAAAAAACGCGGCTCGCTGTAAATTCACGAAAATAAAATAAATGGAATTACGGAAAATTTAATAACTTCTAAATGGAACGGACTACTTTTTTCTGCCGTAAACACATAAAACCGACAGACTAACTTTCACACATTACGGCAAGAAGCACATATTTGCGCATTAAACATATGTGTATCAAATGAACGTGTTTGAAAATTAATATCGTTAATTTATATGAAATTTGATAGAAATTCGGTAGGACAATAGCTTATTGTACAAATATAATTAGTCCGTGGAAAAAAAATTTTACTAATTTACATAGTGCTCCTCTAAGCTTTATTTTCCATTTAAATTAGCAAAAGATTTATCACATATATGTCTTAAAATAATGTATGTGCAAAATATTGAAGTGTAAAAAAAATTTTTTAAATTAATAGGATTGTGTATTCCTAGCTGGATTTTAACAAATTATAGCCCCATTTCATCATCATTAATGTATGTGATGTTTTCGAGAATACTGATGGGTTTCTACTTCTCTGCCCAGATTAACTAGAGTATTTTAAAATGCAGCCGCACTCCGGCATGGAAAAAGAGATCTCGGAAAATTAATATTCCTTGCAAAACCAGAGTAACTAACTTCATCGATAGAATTACATTTCGAATCACGTTTCGGTTGACAGTTTCAAACACATCGAACGCCACGCGCTGGTCACCTATGGTCAGCGCAATCATACCGAAGTGTTTCATTACTTTTCGACGCAACCACGAAGCGTTCAGCAATTGTCACATGTTGCGACAATGGATCAATTAGCGATCGCGAGCGAGCTGTAACGAGTGATACGCGTCAAGAGAAATTTCACTTTGCCTTCACGCATAACTCAACGCGTCGCGCGTTCTTCATTTCAGAAGAATTTTAATCGACAATCGCGCGGGAAAAAACGTGTTGAGGGTACAAACGTCTGGGGATGCGCCATGTGTGGTCGCCGTTTGCAGTAGCCGTCGGGAGAGTTACGATCGCTCGGCAGATCTACGAGTGTATACTTACGGTGGACCGGAAAGTGTGGCACGGTCCGCACGCCAAGCTCTTAGGCGCGCTAGTTTACAGGTGTTAGGCGCGTAGGCGTGTAATTCGGCCGGAAGGAGAGCGCTTTAAGCCCGCCACCCCCTGTTCGCTCGCTCGCTTGCTTGCTTGTTTGTTTGTTTGCTTGCCAGCTCACAGTCTGCGGTTCGCGAATGGTGCCGGTGATGATGCGCGCGAATGCGTGGAGACGATCGACGTCCCGACGTTCGCGCGAAGAGGGGAAAAAAACGAGAAAAAGAAAGAGAAGAGAGAGAGAGAGAGAGAGAGAGAGAAAGAGAGAGAAAGAAAGAATTGGGGGAGAATCCGAGGGGAAGCCTCGGACACTACAATATGGATACGTGTTATTTGCTGCCACCAACGTTTCTTTTTTTTTCCTATTTGCTTTCTTTTCCCGTTCCTGCCTCCTATTCTACTCTTTTTTTTTCTTTTCACTTTCCATGTCGTTGTTTTTTTTTCGTATATTTTTTTTTTATGGGACAGACGAGTCCCGAGACAGTCGCTCGAGGTACGTATGCAATTCCGAGGATGGACACGGCCGGGCGAGGGAAGTTCCCCGAAGGAGGCGCGTGTAAAAAGAAATATGTACGCGATTCCGTGAATCGAATGGCGGACGAGAGACGATACAATTGTGAAAGGTCGCCGAAAAATAAATAACCTGTGAAATATTTCCGTTGTCAATTTAATGTAAATGCACGAATTTCAATGTGCCATTCGATGCCCGCGTGCGACCGCATTTAAAAACCGTCGTTTTCGTTGCAATTTACATTGTAAACACATTCGCATTGTAACGCTCAAATGAGAATGGTACGGTTGATCGATCAATTATATATATTTTTTACGCGGCTCGCTGTCGAACTCGTCGACTCGTGAAATTTCCAAATGGCGGAAAATTCGTCTCTCGCGCGTCTTTTCCTTCGTCGCCGCTTCTTCGCGTTGCGCGGCATTCGACAATTCGTTCCGTCGAGGGGGTGTAAACATCTTCGCGAAGAGCGAGATTACAAATCGCCTCGCGGCGCGAGAGGAACTTCCCTCGGCCCGTAACCGTAACCGGAGTGACGATGCTGTTCTCGGCAGTTTATTCGACGATGCAAATGTGACGGAGTGACGTACGTGCTCATGCTCGCGTGACTGCGTGAAGAGTGCCGTGCCGTGTGTGTATGTGTGTATGTGTGTGTGTGTGTGTGTGTGTGGCGTGCTGTGGTGCACGCGCACGCCGTGCTTGCGGCTCGAAGCGTCTCGCAGCGCGCGACGGAGCATCGCTCGTTTTTCGAGAGGAGGAGGGGGAGGGAAGAAGGGGACTAGAGATCTCGGGGATTACAAAATCTAATATTCCGCGGGGGAAAGCGCGAGACGTCGGCGATGCTCTCGAAAAGTAGGGCGGGGGAGAAACCAAGAGGGCGAAAAGAAGCGAAGATGGATAAAAAGAAGTCGCACATTTTTCGCGCAGAAGGAAGAATTACGGGGCGTTTGTTCTCTTCCTCCGTCGGAGAGCTGCGAGGAATTATTTAATCGGTAAAAATAGAAGAGCCCGACAATTGAAATCTTCAGAAAAATCGAGTGTGCAGCAGCAGTTTCTAATTTAAGTCCGCCGAGATAATTAATGCTGAAATTCATCAAATTGCCATTAGGGGCGAAAATCGGGGGAGTAATTAATTTTTTCTCAATTTTCTCAAATTGGGTCAATTAGTATTCTGCAAAATCGAACGAAACAAACGAAATGTGACAAGATCGATATGTTAAACGCGTCACGCGACGCGACACGACGCGGGAGCGTCCGCTCCACCAATTACAACGCGGAATTAAGAGCGACGTAATCGGGGAATATCAAATCAGGCAATCTGGGTCCGCGCGATGGAAACACTCGCTGACGCTAAACACTCGGGTCTTTATATGTACCTATATATAGATACAGACTGGAGAGGCATGTGTTGCGACTTGATGTTTAAAAAAAGAACACATAGACTATATATCCCACGCGGAAGAGAGCTGTACGGTTACGTCATGCTACGCATACGAGAGATCTAAATAGTGACATCGCAAGTCAAGAGGCATGCGGTTATCAGCGGCGTCCGAAGGGACGTGAGTGTTCGATGTATTTTTGCTATACCATGCAAAAGCATGCAGCACACAGCATGCGGGACGCAGAATGCAACGGGGCTGAGGAGGGGCGAAAGGGGGGGGGGAAGGGGAGTTCAAGAGTTGTACAGGATATCGGGAAACAGATTGGATGGACCATCCCTTTCTTTCTTTTTTCTTCTTTTTTTTTAATTTCTTTCTGCTTCCTGCTACGTTCGGATTCAATCAACGGATAACGGGATCGGTCGGGGACGGAACGGACGACACGGGGCCAGGATAAGGGGATGGCTACGGGGGTTGCGAGTGGATGGTCGTATACGGAGGTTGTTTTGGTCGATGGTTCGGCGGCGGTCGGAGGACCTCGCTGAAGCTTACCCTCTTCCCTTGCTTTCCCCGAGCACCCTTCTCGCCAGGCAGGCCGGGCGGTCCTGTCGGGCCCAGTTCTCCCTTCTCGCCCGGGGACCCTGCGTGCCGTGTGCATAAGATGAGACATGGTGCCCGCACACCACGCTAGCTCGCTCGCCCGCCCGCACGCATGCACGCACGCGAGCGAGCCGCGCGGGATTTCCGGGATTTCGCTGGCGTTCTTTTCGAAGATTCTCTCTCTTCGAACGCCCGCGATCGGGCGGCGTTTGACGGATCGCGTGATCGAACTTAACGGAAGTAGAATGTTCTCGAGCGAGAGAGAGCGCGGCTCGCGGCGATTTCGAAACGAAACAAATTATACGAAGAAATTTTGACGAAAATTTTCACGCTCGGTAATTTTAAACGCGGCGTGAAGTCTCGAGTGTAACGTTATCAATCAGGGACTGAGCGGCTAAGAGTTGGAATTGCGGTCTGTCAAGCTTTGTACGGATTAACACCTCGCTCGTAGCGACGTGTGTCCAAGCGTTACTTTTTTATCAACAAAATTTATCGCGTCTACGGTTCTCAGACCAGAACTGACAGCAAACGATACGGCACATGTCGTAAACTAGAACGATTAATGTTATTCTGTCACACGTTCAAAGGAACTTCTATATCTGCATAATAGGATTTTCTTTCATTTGCTCGTCAGTAATAGAGCGACATGTTTGTCGTAACTCCCGTGATAATACTGATATAAAATGATTAGAGAACATTTTCTCTCTAGAAAATTTATATTAATTCAATATTACGTTAAACAATAAATTTATATTCTAGTTCCCTTCGTATATATTTTCTTATAAGAAAACCTCTCTTTAGAAAGTGAATTTGAAATTTGCTTATCTTCCTTCAGTGCGGCAATATCGCTGTACTTACAAACTGTTAACTCGCTTTAACGCGCGCGTCTTTTCCACGTGTTATTTATACTGCGAAGTCACGAATTTTGCAAGTGCAAAAATTCCCACGTGCGCGCTCGCACGCGCGCGCCAAAAACTCGACCGAAATTCGAGGATCGCGCGCCCGTGCAGAGTAAATACGCGCGTCGTTGATTCTAAAATACGACTTTGTACGATATCGACAGTGCACGGCGCGAGTTTCCGCGACTCCGCCGCTTGTTACAGTTCGTGCCGTGAAATTGCGAGACGGATTTGTATGTGGCTAAATTAATTCTGTCAGGCGCGCATGTATAATGCCCGGAAACGTTGTTACCCGTGCCTTGGTACTCCGCGCTGCCGTCGCAGCACAACGGTATAAAGACGGATTAGCGTTCGCGTAATTTCGTTTCTGTCGGATGCATCGGACTCCGGCAGTTTGCTATAGCTGACGCTTTTCGCGACGTTGTCTTCGGCACGATCATAGCCCCCGCCTGGGCTATCTTATCAACGCCGGATTGCTTTTTTTTCCCTGCACGAGGAGATAAATCGACGTAAAGCCCCTCATCTAAAATTCGCAAGGTCTACAAATAACCGGGATTTAATCCGGTCGTTCCGCCAAATCCCTTTCAAGGTCTTTACATTTACTTTATTCTTGATTAGAATAAAATATTTTATTTCGAGTTATACTGCGATATCTAATTACTTTTTATTACAAAGACGATTGTTCCCGTTTGAATTAAATAAATTTATTTTCGAGCATGTATCTTCGCGATTGCGTGAATCGTGTAATTTTCAACGATCGCCTCGCGATGATCTCTTTAAGCCGCGGTTAAAGGCCTCGTAACGGGCGCGCGCTTAAAACTGTTTCCTATTTTCCCCGAACGGCTCTCACTCAATTATAATCACGGCGTGCCTCTCGCGGATCAATCATGTCGGCGAGGCAGGTAACTGATACTCGCGACGCTTTTGCCAATATCCGATGTATTACGGTCAACACGGCGCGCTGTAAACGGTCGTTTACGAGTAGCGAGATCGGATTCTGAATACGTCCGCGATCGTAAATCATTTTCTCGCCGTGGCGCGATATGGCGCGGGCGGGAGAGGAAGGGGGGGGGAAGGGAGGATGGCGCGCGGAACGTTGACGAACGACCGAGTCGTGAGATATTGGCGCGAGAGGAGGATCGGAATTTTTTAAGCCGGCAGTCGCGCTCGCGCGCGTGCTCTCGCCTTTTTCCGCGCGACACACGGCGGGATGCTCCTCCTGCAGCTTCCGTGCCGCCCAGGACTGCGCATTTATTACCCACTGCACTATTCACGAGGCGCGTTGCGCGCGGTGTCTCTTGTCTTGTAATTTTAAGCAGGTCTGAATCTTTTACACGCAAGAGTATTTCAGAATTGTCGTGACAGCTCCCCGGAGACGACAGATTTCTCGGTCGCACTTAGAAGCGATTTTTTTTTCTCCTCCCCGGCGAATATTTCATGAAAATTCCGACGTTGGTCGCGTCTTTACGACGTTAGTTAGCCGCTAAATATCCCCGACGAAAACTCGGATTGTACGTTGGGGAGGTCGTAACTGAATTTCCCGCAAAATTAGGATTTACTCTTTGAATTTTTTAAAATCTGTTTTGTCGCATCCTATTTACCTTCAAACTGTATACCTAATCCCGGCTTTGAAGCAACGCGCGCTGCGTACAGCGATACGTTAACGCGCTTAAGTAACGTTGACGTCCTCTTTTTCTTTTATCACGAACAATTTTTCTAACGTTTCTTGCAGTCTACTTTTTTTTTCGTAAGATATTATTTTCGTGACGCGATCTAAGAACGAAGAATTCGCGAGATATCGCCGAATGCACATATAAATGTGTAGCGCAGTTTTTTCGGACGGTGCTCCTCGAGGACGCTCAACTCCCGAAGGGTTAACGCCCGATCCGCGCGGGACTCTCGAGTGGATGGCGGTAGAGAAAAAAAGGTTCGCTCGCGCGCGCGCGAATGGCAAAGAAAGATTTGCTCACGGCCGCATACATTACTGTAGCGCGCCGGGCGAGACACAGCACGTGTATACGCCCACCACCGCGTGGCGCGGATCGCCTCTCTCGATCCTCTCCTCTCGAGAGGAGAACCTGCACGGTCATCCTTAAGTCAAGATTTCCTCGTCAAGCGTTTCCGCGTTTGCGAGGCTCACACCGCGGGTGCGCGGAGATGATCGATTCGCGGAGATAATCGGACGAATCTGCCGCGTCGCGCTCCGATTTCCGAACGATTGCGCATCGCGGACCGACTTAATCCTCCCGTGGATCACGACACGTGCAGTCTAATGACTTCTCAATCGCGCGCCTGCCCGTCGAAAGAATTCACGAGAGGATTACACAGATGGAAGATTGCAACATGAATTAATGAAATTAACATATTAAATAATGTTGTGGAAAATATCGATTTTATGTAAAAACGTGTAAACTGAAATGCAAAATACGTACTGCCGAGAAAATGAAAAATAAACATAACGATGTGAATAATAAAATAACAATAACAATGTCTAGCCCCGCGTGTACAATTCTCTGACACAATTAGAAAGGAGCTACGACATTGGATTCGAATGAAATGCTGACGAATGAAATAAATAATTTGCATAGAAGATTCGTATATAGTGAGTTACCGTCGACGTCGTTCTCGTATCTCCTCGCGGGAATGCAATTGACGTTGTAATGTTTAATCATTTATTTCGTATGCAGATTATCTCGTTTGTATGCTTACCAGGTGGTCCTGGTGGACCAGGTGGGCCTTCGAATACTCCAGTTGGAAACTGATCACCCTTGAAGTTCGCCGTGAAGCCCCGCTCGCCTTTATCACCCTTGTCACCCTGTCGGAAATAAACTCTCAATGATTTGTCGATATTTATTTGTGCACTCGCTGCATACAACTCTCCATCTCCTCTCACACATATTCCTCGCTTCATTACAATAATTATTACCTGAAAATGAAAATTATCACGGTTCTTTTTTTTCCGCGACAACTCTGTCCACGTGCATACGACAGGTTAATTAAAAGAACACTTTCCTAAATGGATAGCGTTTGATGATCCTTTATGGCAGTATCAAGCGTCGGTAATTAATATGCAGGAACGTGCTTTCGAATGTAATTAATTATAGTTGGATTAAATTAACAATGCGCCGGACGTAATTAATACTCCATTGTTCTGTAATCGCTCTGTTGTACTCCATTAATAATTATCGGTTACGTAACCTCTTGAATGACGCAATGTTAAGTGCATAATATCTATCGCTGCGCTTTTCTTTTTTGTTTTTCAACGACGCGGAACGGCAGTAAACAACTCACTTGTTTAGATGCAAAAAGTTTTCACGCGAAAGAAACAACGCATACCCTGTTCTCCAACCACGTCTTTTGTGCCAAGCGAATTGAAAGATTTATCGTTCGTGCGATTAAGCGAAATTGAGAACGCCGTTGAAATTTCGAGAGAAATTCAAAATCCCACGAGATTAGCCGGATTTGTTTCAAACCACGTACTTGAAAGCGCGCGCGGCCCGTAATCATTACATAATTCCACGGTATAACGTAGTTACCTGCGGTGATACATCCGTAATATTAAATCACTCCCCGCGGAATTTTGAACGCGCGCGCGGTATCGGATGTTTGATATTTCGAAATACGCAAACCCCCTCCCCCCTCCCGCCCCCGTCCACGATTATGTGTGAAATCACGCTTTATAATTTCTATTGGGGTAAATAAAGTTAAGTTTAAATTCTGCATTATCCCGGCTATCGGCAAACCGGTAATGAGGATAATTTATGCAACGATATGATGTAACGTATTTATGAAAATAAAATCTATTTATGTTATCTTGTAAACATATATACGTGTGTTTACGCGGAAATCCAATTTTTACAACATTAATATTTTTCGCCCTTTGCCTTTATTTCTTTAATCCCGGAATAATTACAAATACTTTTAATGCACGTTTTTAATTAATATCAGTGAGAATTATTCATTATTATTTGAGAGATAATTTCAGTTTTCTTAATTATCTTTCCCATTTTCATGCTGCAGTATCAATTTCGCATAATTACTTCCATAACTTTTTTGAACATATTTATTTAAAAATTATCGTTGCACAACCAAAAAAAAGGATGCACGAACGAGATTTACAAATTTAAAAAAAATTTCTTTAAAATTCTTTACGGGATATTTTTTTATTATATTTTAAAAAATAGTATCGAAAGAATCTTTTAAATAGGTCGCTTATTCCTCCATTCTTTTTAACGTCGGGTGCGTTCTCTGCCAAGAGAATGCTACTTTCATCCCTTTCGTGACGGAATGCACCTGTCACGTCACGAAGACCGCTGACCGAGAAAAGCTCTTGAAATTTACGGAAATGCGTGATATCTGACACCTCGATGTCTCAAAGACGCGGGACACGGTCGACGTGTGTAACCGGAGATAACAGCGTGGATTTTAATCTCTCTCGGGGGGACTCACCTTGGAACCTGCAACTCCTGGCGTGCCCGTCGGACCGATGGGCCCGATCGGCCCGGCTGGGCCCTTCTCCCCTGGTGCGCCGACCTCGCCCGGAATCCCCTGTCTGCCCTCGTGTCCGGGAAGACCCTCGGCTCCTGGCGGACCGGGTGGTCCCGGCGGCCCGGGTTCACCCGGCTCTCCCTGTTACGTCCCAAGAGCGTTACGTCGTTACGGCTTTTCTCTCCGGCGAGAGCCCTCGACACAAGAGTGTCTCTCGGTACTCGTCGGTTTGTGCCACGGACTGATGGGGGGATCGACAAGGGGAAGAGACAGAGAGAGAGAGAGAGAGAAAGAGAAGAAAGGGGGTTTTACAAAGAAGAACGAGAGCCGTATGTGTGGTGGCACGATCTCTCGGGGTGTGAGCGTATGAGGATGGCGGAAACAGTAAAAAGAAGATTATAGGAAAGCGAGAGAACGAAAGGTAGATAGAGCCAGAGAGAGGTAAAGAGAGGCAGACGAAGTTAGTAAAGAGTCCAGAGAGAGAAAAAGAGAGATAGAGAGAGAGGGAGGGGTGGGAGATATGTGGACTGGCGGGTGGACGCAGGAAAAAGGAGAACTCGCGAGAGAACAGTGCATGGAAACGAGAAAGATCTCGGCGCGCGCGCGCGCAGGGGGGGGGGGTATGGGGTTGCTCTTCGCGCGGATTTATGGTTTCACGATGCGGCGAGTAACAACACGGCTGGCGAGTTACGGAATGGACCTTTTACCGTATTATCGTATTACTACGCGGAGCCGCTTTCGACGGCGCGATAAGGCGAGTTAAAGAGTTTTCGTTTAGCGCTGGAGAGAATTTTTCATTATCCCCCTCGTAAGAAGACGCCCAAAGATGCTCGGAGGTGTAACCGGATCCCAACCGCCGGGAAAACACCTCCATGATGGCCTTTAAGGATGGTTTCTTTTTTCTCGGGGATACTTTCACGCGATCGTTTCCCGACGCGTAACGTAGAAAAGTTTCACCGACGTGCCAAGAGCCGTTAAAAGACTGTCCATTGTCCGGATCCGCGGAAGCTAAAATCGCGATACGATAAGTTCGAAGGCAATTTTGAAATATCTTTAAGCGAACAAGTTTTATCTTTTCTTCTGCAGTTATTGGCACTTATTCTCTGGAAGTAAAGTAATTTAGCGAAACAGAAAGAACCGAGGGGGAAAAGGTACGGGAGATAAGTTTTGATTATATTTTTAATTATAGTTTTACGTAACAGGGTACTTGCGAAGGCGTTTAATTAATTGTTGTTTTTATTACGTCTCGTCATTATCGGAGAGAAATTCAACAGTAAGTTTTTTTAACGGAGAGCCGAATTTGTCGCGGGACTTTTTGTCAATTTTTGTTCGAAATTAAATATCTAGCTGATAAAATCGTAAATATTTTTAAATTCCGATCGGGTATAAAATTCCACTAAAATTATACCCGGTCCGGCCAGAATTCTATTTTTAATAATTAATACTTGCGCGGAGCGCGCACGCGCGTTATGTATACACGACGGTACGAAAAATATCGCTGTCAGTACGTGTCACATGCGGAATACTATACGCGTGCTCTCCGGTCAAATATTAATTAGACCCTTCATCAAACGCATTCGGGGACGATGAATGCCGCGGTTCGTCGAAGGCCTGGGCTATTGAAACAGCATTTTCCAGCGGGCGATGAGACAGCCCCCGCGTATATACGAGCGAGCAATTAATTTCTGTCACGACCGGAGAGAGAGACACATCAGCGGCCTCGCCCGAGCGAGCAAACCACCCCCCGCCGTGGCGAATGCGCGCGCGGAGAACACGTGTTTATGCGCGCTCGCGGAGAGACAGAGAGACGAGGCGCACATGGGGAAGACGATAAGGTGCGCGATAACGCCAGCGCGCGGCTGCCCGACCACCATCGGGCGCGTAATGTACACATGCACATCCAATCGCGGATACGCACCGCGGTCTGGAATGATGGTCGAGACAAATAACGATGGATACGTCGTTTCGCGGTGCGTATACAGTTTGTGCGGGGACATCCATATACATACGGCGGCACACGCCCAGGCAGAGACAGAAATGTATATACGAGCAACGTTTAGAGAAGTCTACGTGGCACGCGTAGCATGCATGGCGCCAGACGTATGTACACGCACGCGTATACGCATATCCCGAGGGCGCAGGTGCCCCGCGGATGAAAACTCACAACCGGGAATGGCCCGTCGAGACGCGTTTTCGGAGATATACGCGCGGGCCGTCGCGGGGCATTTTGCAGTCGTGAGGGCAGCATGTTTCATGATTGGGGAAAAAAAGAGAGAAAGAATATGGAATAACTTTTCGGCGCGGCCTATTTTTTAATTTCCCTCTTCCGTATATAAGCCCGATAGGAGGCCCGAGGCACCGAGAGGCACTCGTAATTAAACAGGTTTGAATATTCATACGCGAAGGCAAATACGAGAGCTCTGTCGTATATATAAAGATGATTAAATCTTTTCACGTTGTTATAAAATAAAAAGTTAAAAAATTATATGACACGGTATTGTCATATATATTTAGGTATATATTTTTAGAGAAAAATCCGGTCGAATAAAATCCATTCGCTCGATTTGAATATAATAAGTATCGAGTTACTCGATGGACTTCGATGTGAACTAATTAAATTGACGTAGAATATTTTGTTTAACTCCGCTCCCGCGGAATCTTCTGCGAAAAAGGGAAAGCATGAAAAACGACAAACTTCCCGCATCCCATGAATACTTACAATGGAGGTTCTTTAACAGGATAATTAACTGGCGGTTAGCGTTTCATTATTGAATCCTCGAACGTATAGCTCTAGCTAGATGACGGGAATTTAGCTTATTACGGCTAACCGCCCCTTTCAATATTCCGCGGTCACGCTATTGTCATTTATTATTTGCATTACCCTTTGCATCATCATTGCCGTTGTGTCCAGGCGCTCGTGTATTTTCATATAAATATATTACAAACGCGGCCTGTATCTTCAAAAGCGTCTTTATCGATGCTCGGCGGTCGCGATTCTATTGAAACAGGTCAGGCGCGCGCGCGTTTCTCTTTCAGCGGTACACCTCCCGAAGCCCCGGCATCCTCGGCGAAACGAGGTTTGTTCTCTCAAAATCGACTTTCGGTGGCAAAACCGCTTCCTCTCCTTGCCCTCGATGCTGCCCCCTTTGATGACGAATCGTCGCGATAATCGTCTCGCGAGTACATTCGAATGACCCTCTCGGGTCTGACCAACGCCCGCGCCGGAGGATATCAGCAGTTACTCATTCATTCCCGACAGCTACATCAATACACCATCATCGTGCGATCATGCGGCTGCGATACGATCACAGGCAAGTTTCTACGGATATACATCCACCTACGCGCGCTGTAAATCGCCCGCGCGTTCATCCAGCGCATACCCGCGGCGCGTATAGGTGGGCGTGTAGTAGCGCACACACGCGCACACACACATCGCACTACGCCATACAGAGAGAGAGAGAGAGAGAAAGAGAGAGAGGGGGGGGGGAAGAAAGAGAGAGAGAACAGGATAGACTGCAGATGTTACAAAGTAGTATCATGCAACGCACGCACGTACGCACGCACGCGCCTCGTGTGCAGGCGAGTGCACGCGCGTGCGATTTTCGCATCGGCATGCGGGACGGGTGTGCGGCGGGGTCGTGCATTTTTTACTCGCGCCTTACGTGCGCCAGCGTAGCGCGTTGCGCCTCCTCTTTTTTTTCCGTTCCTCTTCCCTTTTTCCCTACCCCTCTCGTTTCCCGCCGGGATTTTTTCGCGGCTACGCGACCACGTAATCCGCGTTTCTCGCGTAAAATTCCCTCTCTCGCGGAGGCGTTCGTGAATTTTGGGCGTTTTCCCCCCTCTCCTTCTCCCTTACGCGAGTGTGTTTTTCTTTTAGTATTGACACCTTGCCTCCGTGCACGTCGCGTCGAATGCAAAGCTCGACGTGAAGATTTATTCGAGAAATATCACTGACAATAACTCCGAATATTCTACCGAGCGCGAAACTCAAAAGTTTTGTCACTGTCACTGTCAATACTTCGATCATTTCAGCAGGATGCTGTTGTTCGAATTTCTTACTTATCATTAAGAATATTTTATATGCACATAGCGTTGCAATAAAAATAAAAATAATTTGATCGCAAAGATTTGTCACAGACACCAAAATTTAAGCGAAAGATTGTCTTCACGGCAAAATTCAGATCTGAATCTCTTTAATCGCGTAATATTTATAAGTTGAAAAATTCTTTTGTCGGCCGAATATCTCAAAGTACTTCGACTGTAAATTTGACTCTGAAAATTTCTACGAAACTGTAATTCTAAAAATCTTCCGCTTTTGGAATTTGATAAAGCGATGTGTCTCGAGCGACGAGGCGATAGATCCCCTTTGAAACCCAAACGGCGCTCGTGGAAGCCGCCGCCGTCGCCGCCGCCGCCGCCGTCGTCGAGTCAAAGCACACCAGAGCGCGGATGTACGAAACGTGCAAGGGGGGGATGAACCGGTTCCATCTCTTACTCTAAAAGAGTATAGGATATCGCGCTGTTGGCACTATCGATCGCGTCTCCGATCTTTCGAGGAATACGAATTCGACGCCGACAAGCAGCAACAACAGCAGCGGCGGCGGCAGCAGCAGCGGCAGCAGCAACCGTAGCAGCTGAGCCGAGAGTGTACGATGTCTGCCTTTCGCGAGAGGATTTGCATTCGCCCGAGACGGCAAGACGCGGTGGCTTCCCTCCGCGGATTTTTCGAGCGGTCTTTCCTTTCGTGGTGTCGGGACAATCGATCGCCGCGGGGCGAGGTACACGTATATACAGGCGCGGCGGTAACTTGTACACGACCCCCCGATAGAGTACAGAGTAGAGAGAAAGAGAGAGAGAGGGGGGAAGATAAGAGAGAGGGGCGTATAAGAACGGAGGTATCGAACCGTAAAGTAAAAGGGTATGTTGTAAAGGGGGTTTCTAGCGAGAACCTCGCGCACATGTCGATATACTGGCGCGAGCACAGCGGGATGATTCGACCCCAATCGCCGTGCGATCTCTTCCAGAGTTACAAGTAACCACCTCGGAAACGTCCTTCCGCGCCGTGTTCGCGCCTCGTCTATTCCCTCGGAGACGAACGGTGCTCACAGCATGCAAGTCGCGCTGAAACCGCGACAAAATTCCCCCCTTATATGCGATCTTAATGGACAATGCGCGGTATCGGTTGTCCGACCGATAAATAAACTCCGCCCGACACAACTTCCGGTTGTGTCGCGACGACGGACGAGAACTAAGTTTGCAATCTCGGAGAGAGCCGGAGGTGGGAATTAAATCGCCCCCGGGATTCCCCTCCGAGGTGAGCAAACTTCTGCAACTTCTTTGCAGGCGCGACAGCTCGTTTCAGCGCGGCGCGTTTTCTACTATCGCCGCGCAGCGAATTTAGAATGATCCCGTGGCGTTTAAGTGTCTCCTCGGAGAAAGTATGAATAAACAAAAGATAAGTTTTTAAAGATATTCAAGTTAATCTGCGGTTATAGCTTTTTCTCCTTTTTTTTATCTCTTTCCTTCCTTTCGAACATGTTAATGTAACTTAAAAAAAAGTTTAATGTCTTAAAAATAAAAATGGATATTATCGCGTAACGATATTTACGGAAATATGCAGGAGCGCGGAAACGACGAGCAATCAATATATAATTCTAAATTTATAAAAATGTTAAAAATAAAATTTGTCTTGTAAAAAATCGATCGCCGAAGCGTCCTGTTGCAAAACTCGGAATAGAGCACCGTTCATCGAGGGACCGACGATAAAGGGGGGAGGGGAGAAAAATAGGGGAACTCCCGAAAAGCAGGCGCACTTACTTTCAGTGGTATGATGTTCTGCGCTGAGATATTAACCCCTTTCTCCTGAAGTTCCTAAAAGTAGGTCAACACTACGGGTAAAAAACCAAATCGCTACAAGACAAAAACAGAGAGGGGGGGGCATGGGGTGATGGGGTGACGTTTGTCGGTATCGGGCGGGAAGCGTAGGGGTTCACGTTTTTCGATTTTTTTTTCAGGGGGTGGGTGGGAGGGTATAGGGGGAGGTTCTCGTATCTCACTGCTCTTCCGAATCCAAGGCATGCCCAGAGATATACCTAAATACTGTAACTTAAAGTAAACACCATTACCAACCAAAAACCAAAGTGAAAAAAAGTGCGTCGTCGATGGCCGTTCGTTCAGCGGTCTCTCATTATCGCTCGATCACGATCAATAAATACAAGTATCGCACAATGATGATCAACATTCTTGCAATTATTTTATTCTACGCATGTCTTAAAGTAAATTCTTTCTAAGATATTAAAGCCGAGATCGACGATCGACGGAGAAGAGAGAACCCGATTCGACGATCGAGCATCGACGACGCGCTTTGTTTCGTAAAAAACCAACGAGAGAACGCTACACCGAAAGCACCGCACGAGGCAACGACTAGCTAAAGAACAACTTGGACGACGAAATCCGGCCTGTCGCGCATCCGGGAATGTAATGCGCGCGGACACAGAAAAAAAACATGACATACAGGTGGTATAACAGGGGGATGGACGGTGTGGGGAAAAGTGGAGCAGTGGAGGACGGGGGGATGAAAAGAAGAAGAGAAGAAGCGACGACGACTACGGGGCAGTGTTGGACACAATGACGAGATGACGGGAGGGGAGGAGTGAGAGACAGCTGGGAGGCGATTGAGGGGGATTGGAGGACGTCCGTCTCTGAATCGCGACACCGAGAAGCGTGTCGCGCCTTCCGAGGAGGAGGAGGGCCGGTTTACCTTGAGGGCGACGATTTCCGCGTAGCCGAGCGTCCCGCCGCGGAGCGTCGTCACCGACCTCTTTAACCCCAATCCCTGTGCATTGACCCGTAGGCGAGAAAAAAAGGCAAGGTTTATTTATTCGCTCTCGTACTGCGAGACGTCGCGTTGCCGTTGGCTGTTGGTGGTCGACGGGCGAGCGCAAAACTGATTTCGTTTGCGTGAAATTTCGTTTTTTTGTTCACAACCAGGGCGGAGTCCGCGCGCGGGAAAGAGGCGCGAGAGATCGACGCGATTCTTTTTTTTTTTTTGTTCACGCGCCCGGTGTTCACCGGCTAAGGCAATCACGCCAGTTCTGGCGCCGTCTGCATTTTGACGGATGGCGCGCGACGGAACGATCGTTCTCGCCGTTCGAACGCCGTGAACGAGCTTCACGACGACGGATTGCGCGCAACAGCTGGCGCGATTTTTTTTCCCGGACAATGATCTTCATCCTGCCGTTATTTAATTGAAAAATGTTTACACTGCGCGAATGCCACGTCGTGCGACAAAAATAATTTTTCTTCCTTCGTGTAACAAATGCATAAAATAAAAATATCACACTTTGGATTAATTTCATTTACAGAAAAAAATTTCCAACAGCATCTAATTATATATTTTAAATAAAATTAATTCTCGCTTCCTGATTGTCTTAACATCTAAAAACCAGCATCTGCTTGAGTCACGTTAATCCGGAATCAATTTTTGTCTTAACAAAAATCCAGAAAAATATTAACAATGCTCGAATTGTAATAATCAGCTTCAGTCGTCGATCGTCTCTGTGCTTCATTGCGCGCGGACTCCGCGCGTGATGTGCTCGTCGTGCGGCAAACGCATCAATCGATAATCCGGGGCGCGCTTGTTGCACGCTGGATCCGAGGAGAATCGCGGAGAGCCTCGGCCGATTTCGCTCTGGACACGAAGCGTATGCATATGCATGTGCACGGACAAATGCATCGTGCACGCATCGTCGTCTCCTCGCAATGAGGTCGGCCCGAACATCCGCACGACTTCCAGGGCGAAGGTGGCTCAGGTTCCCGACAGACGACAGGAGGAAGCGTTGTCGTCCCTCTTGTCGTGTATGACACTCCGAATGAAAGGGATCGGCGCGCGATCGACGACGCGCGCAAGTGCGCTCGAGCGGAATGAAGGAGCCTCGTCCTCGAGACCTCGAGGAAAAAAAAGCGACGGGTTAAATAAAACCTGTCGAGTCCTTTGCACACGGCGCGCGAGGATCGCCGCGTTTGAAATGTTATCTCAGGGTGCTTTGACGATCTTACAAATCTCGCTTTCGCGCGAGGAGCTGAGAGATTTAATTATCGCGCGGATAAACGCGGTTGGCGCGAATTAGGCCATCCGGAGAGCTTCGGTTATATGATTTCCCGGAGGATTCCCGTTATAAAAGAGTCTACCCCGTTCTACTCCGGATCGCTCGCTCGCAAAAGCGCGCTTCCCTGCGCGTGACACTAATTTCTTCGCTTCGATATTTTTGAAATTCTTCGGGAGGAGGGGGACTGAAATCACGAAATCCGTAGTAATTTATTCGATTAATCGCCGGTCCTTTGACGCTTCACGGCGACGCGATCGAGAAGGCGTTAATAACGTTCCCGCTCGAGTGCACTTTTACCATGTAAAATGGGATTTGCAGCTTTACGCGCGATGAAAATATCGTTTCACTCCTTTCCGCGTCCGCGCAGCCCCCTTTTCCGCCCTTCAGGACTTATCCCGTATTCTTCTTCTCGCTTCTTTCTCTTCTCCGCTCCCGCGTTGCGTCGGCCGCGCCGATAGTAGTACACACGTCCCCGTGGTACATACAGCAACTTTACGAGATTGCCCTGAAGGACGGTGACGAGGGGGAACTGCGGGGGCGAGAAATGAAGAGAGCGCGGCACGCATTTTCGCATTACGACTGCGCGCCGCGCCGGCGGATATTGCTTTACTCTGCGCCAGATAGCGTAGCTTAGATACCTTTACTGCGGACAAGACGTCGAATCCGGGGCTGCCCAGCTCGCCCTTCTGCCCTTTGTCACCGGGTCGGCCCTGCGAACAAAAGGCGACGCTGTGTATTACGCTGGAGTATAATAACGACGACACGGGGGAAGAGAATGGACAGGGCTCTTTCGCAATGAGCGCTAAATTCTCTCTCTGTTATACCATAACCTATTCAGTGATCAAATATCTCTTGGCTGTTGTCTAGCACGTTTATCTCTAATTCATAAGCTAGCTGTATAAAGCGCCGAAAAAAAATTGGAATTTTTCAGATTTATTTTTTTTACAATATTTTCCAATATTCTAAAATTTTGCAATATTTCAAAGAGATTTTACCATCTCCTTTCGATCCGTTAAATGCTAAAGTGATGCGTCAGGATTCCGTTTTCACATCGACTTTGCGTGTTGAATCACTATGAAGACACTTTCAGCTTTAATTAAGAATTCTGGCGCACTCGTTCCGTTTCAGAGATACCCGATAGCGTGGAGCTCGAAATGTCTGTACGGAGATTCTGCAGATTCTGCTATTAAATTAAATGAGATTTTCTTTCAAATAATTTTCTAAAATCCACGAAGAGAAGTTAGGACGCGCGTGCGAGTTTTTGCACTTTAATCTCGCCGTCAATTATTCTTCGTAATGACACACATAATTAGACCTCAACTACTTTGACTTCACGCAACGTAGATAATTAACGTCCTTAACTACTTGAACTTCATAAACACAATTACTTATATCAACGTAAACTCAATAGATACGATAGATATGCTCGCTACAATTCATGCTAATAAATTAGGAAGCTACGTCAATTGTTCACCCTCATTATTTGTACTCCCTTACACAGTAACAAAAATGGGAAAAATAAAATGATTAGACAAGTCAGAAGAGAGAAGACATTAAAATGAATTTAAATCAAATCACCGCCAAATATTTTTTTCTACACTGTATAAAATACTGCGCTAGGATCAGATTTAATCTACAATTGTGCCGCACCGGGGATATCCGATCAAAAAGCCCGAATCGGGAAAAGCCAAATCATTCCTATACTCCACTGCATGCAATTTATCCGTTTTTGCGTACAGTATCGATATAGTGTATAATATGAGAACTACTACAATATCGCGCGGCACGTGTTACTCTTCGCGACGTATCTTGACGAAGGGAACGCAGACCCGCATAAAATTTCGGACTTTGCAAACCCGCGGACGGCCGCGAGGGCGATTCCGATTACGCGAGGGTTAAAATCGCAAGTCAATATTTCGGATCCGGACCGCGCGGCGCGCGGATAGGATGCGGTTGTAAATTTCCAAGAAGATAAACCTGTGTGTTTGCGCGTCGGATCTTATCCCTCCCGCCCTCCCTCCCTTCCTTCCTTCCTTCCTTCCTTCGCAGCAGCGAGTAGAGAGAGAGTAAACTCCGCGATCCCGAGGCAAATTGCGGAGTCACTGCTGTAACCCACCCACCCTGGCTGTAACCCACGCCACGACTATTTGCACGAAATCCGATATAAACGCCGGATTCGTTATTCGAATCTCGGAATACCCTTAGTACACCGGGGCGAGGGAAGGGTACTCCGCGCTGGGTATTGGTCGTCCGGCGACTGTGTACACACTCGTTTGCCACGCTCGTTTAAAAAGAAAACCTACCGGGCCGAGGCAAAGAGAGAGAGAGAGAGAGAGAGGAACGCGAGGAAGAGAGGAAGGAAGCCGATCGTGGTGTGCCGGGTCCTTTCTTCCCGGCCATCGACAGAACAAACAACTCGCGATATTTGCAATGCACTTATTGCTCTCCCTCCCTCCCCCCGCCCCGCCTCTCCTCCCGCTATCACCCTCTCTTTTTCAATCGCGCACGTACCCGTTCCTCTTCTCCTCGGACACATTTCTCCGCTATCTGTTTGCTCTGTCGTTTGTACCTTACCGCCACCGAGATCCAGTCACGTCAGTGTCCAACCGCCACAATGCCGTCTCCCTCATGTATATATATATGTATTCACCCTGGTCTATCGGGTACCTGCAGACGGGTGTATGGACGTATGTTCCAAAACCATCGTCCGTGAATTCCTCGAAACGGGATTGTTCCCTAATGAAAATTTCATCGGAACACGATCTTTGTGTGTTTTTCTTAGCGCGCGGCACCCCTGATGCGTGTCTCAAATTGCGACGCGATATTCAATTATACAGTTCCAACTCGAGATCAAGTAAGAAAGTCTCTTATTCTCTTATCTGGTCGTCCGCATCGCGAGAGCACTTATTAGCGTGTCGTCAACCCTTCCTAATTAATCGCGTAGCGTCCGTAATTACATAGAAACAGCAGTAATTCCGCGACATCCTGCGTTACATCAAACGTATAACGCGACACACACGCACACCGCCGGGGAACACGAGTGTATGTGTGTACACTACTAGACAGAGGCTGTTCTCCGCGGGTAAGGCAAACTAGGTGGCCACAAAGGGCCACCGGCGCGGCATACAAGGGCCTGTCATGCGAAAAGACTTTGCGTGTCACGAGGACCTTGCATAACCGGGAGTCACGCGTATAAACTAGAGAGAGAGAGAGAGAGAGAGAGAGAGAGGTATGTGTATGTACGGGAAGGATATAATGGCAAGAGCCCCGTGTAACCAGCTCGCACGAGCCTCGCAACCATCTCGTGCACCTATAATATGCCGGGGACACGGTCCTCGAAGCGGACGCGCAGACTATGGAACTTCTGTATCCATAATACGCGAATTTACGTATTCCGTCAGACGACAGTTCTCTCTCTCTCTCTCTCTCTCTCTCTCTTTCTCTCTCTCTCGTATACGATCCGCGGCCGCGTTGAAAGAGACAACTCCGAAAGCGCGCAGTGACGTCGCGCGCGTGGTGCACGTGGTCTCGCGGTCTCTGCGTGTGTAAAACGGCTTAGACAGATAACATAATAAGACGGTAAAATAAGGAACTGCTCAATCCATGTTCGCGTCGCTCCGGATATTCATGCGCCCGCTTCCTCGAAGGGACGCGTCGCCTATTACCTATGTATAGACTGTTATGCATTTATGGATGGTGAGAGCGAAATGACGGCAAAAAGAAAACGGCCATCTACGTGTCTCGCGACTTTGTCTACTCTCTAAATCTGAATCCAGTGGAAAAGTCACTGATTGAGTTTAATAACGCCTTGCATTGCTATATCATGAAAAGAACGATTTTGTTGAAAGATCTAAAAATTTTGCTGAATACAGATCTGAAAATAATTTTTTGTGGAATCATCAAAATAATTCGCTGGAATGTTAAAACTGATGAGCATTGCTATAAAACGTTTTGATATTCTAGCAATCATTTTGATTTTCGCACAAAATTATTTTCAGATTTGGATTCAGCAAAATTATTCTTTTCGTGAATGAATAAGAAACAAAGCCGAATCCGCTTTGTAATTAGCTAGAATAGCAGTCTACTGATTTGTCAACGATTATAGCGATATTATTCACTTATTTATTAATTTCAGAGAGACAATAAAGTTGAATTTCACTGATTACCAGTGACATACTTAGGACTGATGCATTCAATGAAAACCATTGATAATCAGTGACTATCCACTGATTCAAATTTAGAGGGTTACGTCTCCGTTTAGCGTCCGAAAAGAAGGTGGTGGCAGGCCGGTTGATGAATAGGTTTTTCGAACGACGAATCGGATTGCAGTTAAAAGATCGCATCTCGGAGAAAATACAACGATCGCGCGCGAGGCGGACTGCGAGTTAACTGCTTGCCGACGAACAAGCGGAGTTAATAGAGTAAGTGAGCGCAAGTGAGCGAGCAAATCTTCAATTTAAAATCCGATTCATCTTCCAATCCTATCCTCAGCCGCCGCCACACACTACAACCGCGACTGCAAGGGATATGGAGTTGTCTTAATAAATCACGATATAACTTTAACTGCGGAGCGGTCGCGCGTTTAAAAAATACAACGTAAATTTGTATACTGGATTGTCATGAACTATTTTTGTCCGCGAAAAAGCTGGGTAACTTGTTATTTATTAACTCCGTAATAACGATATTATGCAGTGCAATAACGTCACTTTTGTAAATTTTTTTTTAATCACAAAACTCGCTGCATAAATATATTCATAGGTAAGTAAAATCATATAGACCTTTCCTATTACTTATAATACTTTTTTTCCGATAAAAAGAGAGTCGAAAAAGTCGACGCCCGTCTATAAACTTGTAGATTAATATTGCAACATGAATAGAGTTAATATTTTTTATCAATACGCTATGCGTTGTGAATATCGCTGAAATACTGAAGGAGCACTTTATTTAGCCAATTTTCACGCTATCAAACAATAAGACAATAACAATTTTCTCAATTAGTCGTATTTTCGTAATTCGTATCCGTATAAATGCCAGCGAAAATATCTACATCGGATCCACGTAATGTTCCGATTTGATTTGAAACCTCGATACGCTTTCATTCGCATCGCCTGCGTTTGATTCGTGCCCGTCAAAAACCAGAGTCTGATAGCGAAATATATGGTCTACCTCGAAATGTATCGCCCATATGATTGATCATCCGGCATTTTTGCGGCTAATTCGTTCAACATACGTCAGCTGTTGCGAACAAGAAAAAAGTGTCAGAGTCGTTGAAACGAGTCCGAACCCAAACGCGTTCCCGTTCCTATAATCGGAGCGACTCGAATGCCGATCGAGTCGTTTGAAATATCAAGACTAAATATCTTACTCCGATTTCTACTGAAATACGAAGTAGACCAGAAAAGTTTCATCCTTTTAGGAACAGCTGCGTTTGACGGAAACTCGATACCAAAATTCTCGCCCCCCCCCTCTCTCTCTCTCTCTCTCTCTCTCTCTCACTCTTTCCCGTGTCATTATCTTTACGTCTGACATTTCAAATGTTTGACTTTGTTGCCTTCTTGATCGTCGTCTCTCGAGACGACACTCCCTTCCTTTCATAAGACGTAACTACGTAAATAAATCTTTTTATCTTATATATATGTATAAAATAATAGGACTTAATAGAAATGTAATAAAAGGACTTATTTAACTAAATTAATTGGGAAGAAAGACGCGATTTAAATAAATTGTCGATCTTATATTTGAGAACGATAGAATAATCAAATGCTCCAAAAATGTCTTAAGTAACCTCGTTTCAAGCCTGTGCAATTAGAACAGAAAATCTAGATAAGATATATCTAATTTTATATCGTGTCGATTAAAATATGTATTAAAAATCGGTCGATATCGACAGTTCATTTCGAGCAAGAAGTTTCAGAAATAGCTTGTTAATTGCAAACTGATTGTTTCACAATGTGTAGCATTTATTTCTGTGCCGATCGACTTCGACGAAAATGCTTAAAAACTTCATAACGCAACGCGCACGTACCTGTTCAACCGCAATAAAAAAAGGAAGAAATTATCAAATTTATTACAATGACAGGCGTCAAGCATAAATTTTCGGTAAAACAGGTTTCTCGCCGCACGAAATATATTATGATTAAACTTCTCTCACGCCCATAACCATTATTCCATTAAATAATGTTATTCTCAGAACGTTAAGCGTCGCGAAATAAAATATTGCCTTTCGCGTTGTTTCTTCTTCCTTTTTTACGCGAAAGCAATTAATTTCGCACGCTCGTAGCGCCACGACGAAAAATTAAAATGTAAATTATATGCGGTGAACTTACCGGATCACCTTTGGGCCCGTCCAAGCCGATGGGTCCCTGAAAGAACACCCGCCAGTGAGTTGCCAGTCGTCGCTCACGCGTCCATAACGACGAACGAAGAAAAGTGAAAAATTGCGTGCGGGCTGAGCGAGCGAGCCCTTGGAAATATATCTCATTCCTTTTGTGTATGTATAACATGTAATAAACACGGGCGAGCGCGACAAACCAGAACCGTGATGATGAGTCGGTTATGCTTCCAGGCGCGACAAAAGTGCATTCGCATGTGATCCTCAGCTGTGATGTGACGCGTACACCCGTCGGTTGTCGACGACCGCGCGAGAATCGCGAGGAAGCTCACGCTGTTAATAGAAATTTTATTCGGCACACAGTGAATGTTTAATAATTTCGCGCGCAGCCTCGATCCTGATGGAGCAACTTTCATATTTGATGCCGGGGTCATATCTCGAAATTAGCGCGCTATACGTTGCGTTGCGTTGCGTTGGCGCCAATTTATACGGAATTTCTTTCGATATCGTGATTAATCAGACTCGACAGATAAAACGTCACTTGTTTTGCGTTTCATATCTAATTTACATACTTTTGATTGCATGCAATTTAAATAAGAGGAAACGCGCTTTGTCAATTGATTCAAATTTTATCAATCGCATGTGAAGCTTGCGTGAAAGATTAATTTTCCCCGCAACAGAATTTTACTTTTTGATTCGATATATAAATTTTATTAAAACTTCCGCAAGAGGCACAGCTCCGAAATATTCATTTCTCCGATGGACAGATCGATCGCTCGAGTTTCCACTCGGCAATTACGAGCTGCATCGGAATGATAACTCGATACTTAATAAATCGGAAATCGTTATTGATAGGCGGGCTCAAGATCGCCAGCAATTAAAAGTGAAGGCGCGATACTCCTCGCGAACGAGCGAAGAATGCAATTAACCCGGTTCCTCGGCGCGCGTACAACAGTTGCACCTTCAGTCGTCAAAGCGACGCGCGATATACAATGTCGGCAGGTGAGAATGCCGGAGTCCGATTTCGCGCTTCGTGATCGCGCGTATGAATCGCGCGCACTGATACACGATATACAAAAGAAAGAAAAAAAAACAGAATAAAAAAAATCTAGATGGACAGCTTGTATCGAGAGCCGGAAGAGGATCCAGATGTCGAGAGATACAGCTCGCGCGGATAAAGAAGCAGGTCAAACGAGCAAAAATCGGCACATCAGCGGCTACATGATACGCATTAATGGTACTTGATGGCTTGTTATGTTCGATACACATATAGTGGTGTGGTAAGAGTAACGCGGTGTTTAAGAGACAGCGACAGCGAGAAAGAGAGGCGGAAGGGAAAGACCAGAGAAACGAATGCAAATACGATATCGAGGATACGAGAGACAGACACAGGCGTAATGCACAGACAGAAAGAAAGAAAGAGAGAGAAAGAAGCGAGAAGGAGTGTGTTGGAGAAAGAAAATAAAAAATAATATACCGGAAAACCGTTCTTGCCCGGCGTCCCGGCCACACCCTGTAAGAAGGGGTATAAAAAATTAAAAACTCGTTTACACGAGGAGAGGGGAGGGGGAGGGGGAGATTTACTCAGGGTACTCTCTCGCGCGCATGCAAAAGCGATTATTTCGCGGGCCGGCCGATCGTGCCCGCGATATTATCGGTCTCCCGGTCGCGTACATATATGTAATGTATGTATATGCGGATCGCGGTTGTAAGGACCCGTATACACACCGCCGCCCGCCGATAATTATTCCGGCCAATTAGATATTCCACGGGCGTATGAGCACGCGCGCACGCACGCACACACACATACATGACACACACACGCAAGCACGCACGCAGGCACACAAGCACGCACACGAGTGCGTGCCGATCCATTCCCTCCTCAGTTCACCCGATGTTCCGCCAATCCGATCTTTGATTACGCGACGATGCGCTCGCTCGATCGGCAATCGCGAGGGAAATCCGATCGCACGCCTCTGGAACACCCACGACGATGCTTGTCAGCCAGCCGCAGATAGAGAGAACCTGCTTGTTGCGACGCGACGCGACGGGCACAAAATTTCGACGTCGATGATTAAGTCCGGCAGATAACGATCCAATTCCATTATTTCGTATTAATTTTGGTAATTTAATATACGAACAACATGTGCGCCGGGATAAAAATAAAAAAGTTAAATAGATTTAACGATAAATCAAATTTAAAAGGGGAGTAATGGCCTTCGAGTTTTGCATTACAGGATCGAAAAAAATGTGAATAAGTTGTTGCACGTACGTATACAACTTTGCAACTAATTAATTACGCCTTGACATAATGTAAGTTGGTACCGCGCGCGAGAGTGAGATTAATTTATCTACCGGTAACACAACGTCATACCGTAACTTCGCACTTAAATCGCCGAGTCATCCGACATCGATATTTCTTTGCGGGAGATGCAACCAAAACGGGGAAAGTAACCAATTAAATGTTGAATAAGCTCTCTTCCGCGACTGGAACGTACGCGAGAGCTTCATTTTCAATCTCGGGCGTAATTACGCGCGACAAAGTTATCGATAACACTCGCGTTTGAATTGAAGACACGCCCCCGCAGAAGCGGTCTAACAAACTTCCGCTTCCTTCGAAGGAGAAGGAAGAAAAATTGATTTCTCCCGGAAGAAAAATGAAGTTTACAACGTTCAACATGATTAATACACGGCAGCACTCAGCCCGTTCGTTAAACTTTACGGCTCAGACCGCGCCGTCTTCGCGCGGGAGCGCGTCTTCAATTCTCTTCATCGTCGGGCGCGCGGAAGTCTCGCGAAAGCGCGCGTACTCCGCTTACATTATAGTCACCGCTCGGCGTATTCAGTCTCGAATCTAGAAAAGGCGGGGACAGGGGGGGAGGAGGATAATATAACGCGTTACCGTTAACTACTATTTCATGCATGGAGCTACTGCACTCCCTAATAAACACACTCGCGCACACATACTGCACGTGCGACGTATCGGTGCACTAATACCCGAGGGTCATATATATATATATATATATATAATTGTATATACATATATATGGCGTGCCCCGTGCGAGAGCATCGGCACGAAGGTACTCACCGGCGCACCGGGCTCGCCGGGATCGCCCTTCTTCCCTTTCTTGCCCCTCTTTCCGGGTGGACCCGGCTCACCGGGTGGACCTGAAACACGAACAATGAAACCATGAAGTCGTACGTATACCTGAAATACTTCCAATTCTCTCTTAGCGATAAGACGGCGAGAGCGTGTGCAGTTTCGGTTGCCGAAAAAGAAAAAAAAAAAAAAATATATATATATATATATATACCAAGGACGCGGAGCTATTTTCAACTTGTCTTACAACTTACGGGTAAAGTACCGAGCTTGTTTAACTCTTTGAAACAAGTCGGTCCCGCGATCTGAGCGAACTGTCTACCTCCCATCGCGCGTTTTCACGCTTCGAAGTGCAATAAAGTGCACAGAAATTTCTCGGCATTCGAAACTCCAATTATTCGCCAGCTATATATGTGACACGTTTTAAATCCGCACGGTTGAGCGCGCATGTTCAATTTTAGGTAAGACCGTGTCTCGGTTCTTACCTAAAATCCTTTAGTCGCAACCGCTGCAGCTTCTACAATAGTGAAACGACACTCGGTGAAGTGAGGATGTCCATTTGAAGATTCTGGCGGAAAGCCATTAAAGTTGACGAAAAAGAACCCTTACCTCGCGACCAATCGCTTGCAGAAAGTAAAGTGACCACGTAACGGACACCGTATACAATCCGAGCGTTTACCGCTAACGAAGTGTCACCATCGCGGTGAAAATGAGTTTTCGGGATTGCGCCCACGGATAAGCTTCGGCATTGGCTGTACAGCCCCCTCGACGCCGTTCGGTATCTCGTTCACAGATATTTAGGGATAAATTCAAATAGACTAATAATAGTCCCGACACCTTATTCACAGTTAATTGTTGAAACGAGTTCAAAACGGGCTATAATTATTACCATACGGTTCATAGCTAACTCAATTAATATCACAATTTATTCATATCCTGTTTCTGATCTGTTTATCACTTTAATTTTTAATTCTACCTTCTGGTTCTATTTCGAGGCGCGTAAACCACAAACGTTTCGATTTTTAACGTTAAGCAGTTTCGTAATCATCACGTAGCGTTTCGGACAAATCTATCATTATCCCAACTTCATTCCCGCGGTTGCGTGATGAAAGGGCATCCGGTAACGGCGGACCACCCCGTAGCGCGCGCGCGAATGCCGGCGGCGGGCCGAAGCGAAATGGGCGAAAAGACCGATAGATTTGACGCGTAATGAAATTACATCGTTCTCTCGTCCGCTGAAGGATTTCCGAAAATCGAGGGGGAACGAATGCGCGCGCGGCATGCAGGCGAAAATCTGATCGACCAGCTTCGCGGCATGAAACGTAACGGAGGGGCAGAGGGGGGAAGGCTAATTCTTTTATTTGACATTTGATTTTTTTTCATTTTATTTGACATGACTTCGGCAGTGAGCGCTACACACCCGTACGTGGTGTTCCCCTTTCGGCTTCATTACTTGGAAAAACGAAAATCCCAAACTCGCTCTCTCTCCCTCGTATCGACGAGCGCAACGAATAGAAATACACTGCACCGCTATGTTCTGACGTTCGACCTATCGTTGGTTAAACAATATCATTCTAAAAAATAAGAGAAAATCTATACGATTTCCCATCTAAAAGCATGCAAACAAAACCTTTGATAAATTGTTACAGTGGAATTAGCCCGCGCGCAGCGGACACGGATTAAAAGACACAAGTTTTTTTTTTCACAGTGAATTGTAATACGCTAGAAAATAAAATAACAAAGCATTTAAAACAAAATTTACCGCGACCTTTAATTTATCGGAACGTCGACCATGGATTTACAATCCATTAAAAATATGCTTCGCACACTGCTGACAGGAACTGCATATTTTTTTTTTAGTGACCAAATTGAAAATTGTTACAAATCACAACAAATGGCCAACACGCAGTTGGACCATGCATTTCTACGGTGTAATGCGAATGCTTCGCCCGAGGGTAGAATGCCGGCCGCTGCAACTCATCTCTCTCGTTCGCGTTATTCTAATTTCCGGCAGGGACTTGCCTGACATTCAGGGTCGGGGAACCCTCTCTCTTCCTCCCCCCCCCTCTCTCTCCTTCTCACGGAGAACAATTCGATCGTGATTTATTCCCGGGGCTGCCGGCCGCTCGGACAAGGGCGCGACGAGCGGTTCTCCTTTTATTTTCCATTTATCGCCACCGGCAAGCATCGCACAGGGGATGACGTCATATCCTCCGGAGAGGGAAGCCGCGAACTGAAGCCGCCCGCGGGGGCCGAAGCGCATCACGTCGCCGTCGCAGTGGATAGTAACTTTTGCCAGATTTTTTTACAAATGAACAGCCCGGGGTGACAACGCGCGAAGCTGCGCGAGGGAAAAGTTGCGTGGAAAAAAAAAACGAAAGTTTTTTTTCTGGTGGAAGTGTCGGCAAACTTGCAAGTAAACGTCAGCTGACAGATTTTATTTACGTAGCCTACTTACGATTCATTTATACAGATTTTGTCCGCGAATAAATCTTGAATAATTCGTACTTGGTTTTTCCTGGATAAAAAAAAGGGAGCAATTGAAAAATCTCTGATCCAACATAATGAATGAAATTTCAGATTGGACCGTGTCCATTGATTAAATTTTAAGATGTTTTTATCCAATTTAAAATAGACTATTTTAATACAATTTTCATTTGAAGGCTATTTGAATCTTAAAAAGTCTTGAAGAAAGGAAAACTTACAATTTATAATTTCAACTTTATATCATAATATTTCTTCATTTAAAATCTCACGAAAGAACGACATTTTTATCGCGACGATATTATATTTTTTAGTATATATTACAACAAATTTATTGTAGTGTGCAATAAAATTTGTCAAAATACTATATTGTCCCACGATTAATATGATTTTCAGGATAAATTTTAAAAGGAAATTCTCTCTGTGAAATAAACGAACGAATGAATAATCAATCATAAAACTGATCGATATTTCGAATCAATTAATATTAATAAGAGCTGTCCATTATTAAATTGACGAAGTACGATTAGAGAGTCACCGCACGACCGGTTGTTTCGACCGCGAAAATTTGTCGGAATCCAACTCCCTCTCTCACTCTCGACGGGGTTGGATATGAGCACACTCCATTTAATAGACACGAAACTGTCAGTGTACGATCGCTCGTAGCGTTCCACGGCAATTCCGGATAATCCGTCCTGACGGTTACACCTCGGCCGTAATCCGCGACATATGTAGAAATAACGACGTACGTGCCGATCGCGCGTATTTCTCGGCCGGCAGCTGGCGGGGACGCGCATGGACGTCTCCGCGTCTCTCGAGAGAAAGAAAGCGAGAGCGCGCACCGGTTTGCGTGTATATCTCGTATCTCCGAATAAAAAAGTCAAGAGAAGGCAGATGGCATAATCCCGCCATACGTCGAGAAGCAAGCCAGACCCCTTTCGGAGGATTACGCGCGGCGGAGAAGGCGAAGGATGCGCGCCGTGCGGCTACCGCAGGACATCCGAGACAGACAGCTCTATCAAAATTATATAAGTGAGGTACGGCGCGCCACTTTTAAATCCGGATACGGATTTGCGGGGATATAAGCGTAAGACGCTATAAATGAATTTATCAACGCGAACGAGTTACATCCGAATAATGTTCGATATATATTTTCTGATTTCATCAACGAAACATCGTAATTTAAGACATCACATACAGTACTTTTACTACTAGTTACTTTTGAGTAGGATAAGTGTCTTGTAGGTTTTTTTTATGTCTTCGGTTCTCCGAGCTCTTCGTGATTCTTTCTGGATAAACAACCCATACTGATGAATATACGAAACGATAAAAATACGCTGTTCCAGTTTGAAAAATTGGCATGTCACTCTCGTCGAACGCGGCGATTCGCTTTTTGCAACGTAACACGATATCCAGTTCCTGGCGGGCGGTAACCGTGCGCGCGATAAGAAACGACGAGCGCGAGTTCGGTAATGCTCCGGTATCGGGAAGAAGAAGCAGGCGCGAACGGGAAGAACGGGACGAAGAAGCCGACGACGATCGATCGATGTCGATCAGTAACGAAATAAAAAAAAGCAGGAGACTCCCCTCCTCTCATTCTCTCTTTCTCTCCCTCTCATGCTTCCCTCGCGATCTCGTCTCGGCTGCGCCCCGTTCGCTATTCTCTCGGCGCGGGCAAGTTTTCGCCATCCCGCGGTTCTCATCAGACCGCGCAGATGACGGGTCGTCGCCGCCCCGCCTCGCCTCCCCCGAATACTTGTACTTGTCGCGAATACCCGGGGTATAACGAGGAAAGTTTGCGCCGGGCGGACATTGCCGATCGCTGCCGCTCCCGCCGCGGCTCGGCAAGAAGCGACGAAAACGAACTTTGCGGGCCGCGACGCGGCCGTCATGTCGAGCAAACTGCGGTATGTTGAGCAGATACATGAAGGGGAAAATGACAGCTGTCGCATTAAAGAAAGCTTTCAAATACATTTTTGTAAATGAAACAAATCGTTCGCGCGTTGCGTTCGCCCGGAAGCGGTGAATTTTCATTTCACGAAGGGAAATTCAACCGTATCAAGTATTTAGCGCCTAATGAAACCTCGTACTTTATAAATTTAATTAATTATTAATTACAATTTTTATATAAGGCACTTAATTATAAAAATATTTCATATTGGCAAAATTGAATAATATAACAATGAGATATTTCAAAACTTCTGTTGAAGTAAATTGAATGAAATTCCATAAATAAGTTCATCATTTAAAACGAAGTGTAAAAAAAGAGCGAATATTTTCTATGGTATAGATCCTTTTACAGTATTATATTATATAGAAAACTAAATTCGATGTATACTTAAAAAAAAAGAAATTATTAGTTTTGAGACTTGTGAGATTATTCTTCCACGTGTCTGATTCCTTTTTTTTTTATCAACGGCTGTATTGCTTATTTATTTTATCGTGTGATACGTAATGCAGTATATCTCAGAAACGTCCTTAAAAGCAAGGCTGAATTACTGCACATTTACAGAACATTTCCTCCGCTCCAATCGTAGAATGCGCCCCCGTTCGCGTTTGTGCATTTTGCCCACCGGGATAGTTC